ATCCCACCGAGCCCAGCCTACTGGTTGAGATGTGGTCTCCATAACTTTTTATCCAGACAGGCCTTGAACTATGATCTTCCTGATCTCTGCCTCCTGATTAGCTGGAATTATAGATGTGAGCCACCATGCCTACTTTCTGTTTTCTGATGGCTTTGCTTTGTCTTATCTAAGAAATCACTCTACCCAAGCTCATGAAAAATTTCTGTTTTACAAGTTTTAGATTTTATATTTGTCTATGATCCATTTTGTGTTCATTTTTATGTCATGTGAGGTAAAGGTTGAGGTTCATTTTTCTCCATAAATACATCTAGTTCTAACATTTGTTAAAACAGTTATCTTTTCCCTATTTAATTACCTTAGCACCTTTCTCAAAAATCAACTAGCCAGCCAGATACGTGTGGTTCTATTTTTTTTTTTTTTGGTGATACTGGGCTTTGAACTCAGGGCCTATACCTCAAGCCACTCCAATAGCCCTTTTTGGTGATGGGTTTTTTCGAGACAGGGTCTCGTGAACTATTTGTCCTCCTGATGGCTGCCTCCTGAGTAGCTAGGATTACAGGCGATTCAGGCCTGGCCGTATTTTTTTTTATTCAACTCTCTTTATTGATCTATCTGTGTGTCTATCATTTCCTCAACACTGAGACACCCTGATTGTTGTAGCTTATTGCAGCTTTACATAGTGCAAGTTCATCTTTTATTCAAAATGTTTTGGCTGTTCTAGGTCTTTGCATTTACATCTACATTTTTAAACTGTTTTGTTTATACAAAAAGACTGTCAAAAAATAGAATTAGTAAAATAATTCATACGACTCAGAATTATAGATCTACTATTTAGGGATAATTAGCATTTCCACTATTATTTTGTAATGTAAAATTTTAAAAATTGAGTCTTTCATTCCACAATTGTGATTTCCCCACTTAGATTTGCTTGCATTTTAGCAAGTTCTCTGGCTTCCACTGGCTAGGTCTTGCATAAACTTTATAGTTACCTCTTTATGTTTATACTGTTATAACTGGTAACTTTAACTTTCAATGATTAGTTGCTAGTTTTTATATTATCTTGCAATTTACTTTTCTAAATTGACTTATGGTAGCTTTTTTTATTTGACTTTTTAGGATTTTTGACAAGTATGATCATGTCCTCTGCAGCTTTTTTTCTTACACTATGTGTGTTTTTTGTTGTCTTATTTCACAGGCTGGGAGTGTTAGTGAAGGACTGAAGGACAGACTGCGGGAAGTCCCAAAAGGGCAATAAGTGGTCAAGGAGACACTTCTCCTCCCTAAGAAATGCCTGTTTGCATTTGAAAGGCATCTCCACCCTCAGGCAATGCAAACTAGGCTATAAAACCCACTCCCCACCCTCACTGATGGGATCACCGGTTTCCGGGTCCCCCTGCATTCTCCAATATGCAGTCTTTCTCTTCTCTTTTCTCCAACTAAATTCTCTGCAAATAAAATCTTTCCGACCTCTGCTGTTGGAGTCTGCCTGTGCTTTCATTCTCAGAGCAGGCTCAAGAACCCTGAGCTCCTGAAATTCCTGCGTGTGTCATCCGTGCATCATTAGTACAATTTGAATAAAAATGGTGAGAGTAGATCTCTGCCTTTTCCCACTTTGGTTGGGGAGGGGAAGACAAACTATGGCATACAATTTAATTGTGGATCTTCCCAAACTAAGAACATTCTCTAACTCAGTTTTTATCATGATGAATTTTATTGGATAGTTTCCTGGAGCTATTGATCCCGTTTCGCTTCATTGATTTGGCAAAGAGATTTTAAAAATTTTTCTAACGTTTCAATTAAAAATTTTTTTTCACCTTAACCTTTCCAATGCACAGTTCAGCAATAATCTCCAGAAGTTTTTCATCCTGTAAAAGTGAAACTATACCCATTAAACAGGAACTCATTTCCCCCTTCCCACTAATTCATTTTTTCCTATTATCTCTGACAAATTGGAAATAAAAAAAATGGTGCTTCACTACAAAGTTTTAAAAACATTGTTCTAAGTTTATTACTAAAAAGCATTTTTAATAGGTGCTTGCCTTTAAAATTATAATTTAAAGCCACATGTACAAAAAAAAAATAGAAATTGTGGACAAATATACCTTACTAGTGTCCTAGATGATTTTCATCACTCTAACCTAGAAAATTAGACTGCATATTTTAAAGCAATTTATTTCACGAGAACATTAGTTTCTTTTTTAACAGTGTTAATTACTGCTTGACCTTAAATGCACAGTGCCATTTTCTCCTGAATCCCTTCCCTTCCTCTATATTCTAGGTCCTTCCTAAAGTATCCTCATATTCAGCCAACATAAATAAGGGATCTTTAAAAAAAAAAAACCAACAAAAAACCCCACTTTTTTTTAAAGGCAGATCTGGTGGCACATGTCTATAATTCCGGCAATCAGAAGCCACGGCAGGAAGATCTTTAGAGATGACCCAGCCTACACAGCAAGCTTCAGGCTAGCCTAGGCTACACAATAATACCCTGTCTTAAAAACAAAAACAAACCAAAAGGCTAGACTAAGGGTTTGTAGTTTAACAATCATCAGCTTGCCTCTTCACAAGAATTCAATCTTGGCCATTTGAATTTCTTCTCTTGAGAAAGTTCTGTTTACTTTAGTTGCCTATTTCTTTATTGGTTCATTGATTTTGGAAGAGCTTAGTTTTTTAAGTTCCCTGCATATTCTGGTTTTCAGTCCTTTGTCTGATGTATAGCTGGCAAATATTTTCTCCCACTCTGTGGGTGGTCTCTTTGATTTGGAGACCATTTCTTTTGGAGCTTTACTCAGCTATGAAGAATGAAATCTTACTATTCTCAAGTAAATGGATGGAACTGGAGAACATCATTCTGAGCGAGGTTAGCCAGGCTCAGAAGACCAAGAATCTTATGTTCTCCCTCATATGCAGACTTTAGAGCTAGGGCAAATACAGCAATGTTGTTGGACTTGGGTCACACACTAAGGGGAGAGCACATACAGGAGGTTTGAGGATAGGTAGGAAACCTAAAACATGAAAGTGTTTGATGTCCCCCACCGCAGAGAAAATAATACAGAAACCTTAAAGGTCAATAGGGGAAGGGGATCAGGAACTAGTGAAAAGATCAGGTAGGAATGAATCAACTTGGGATGTAACACATTTGTACATGGAAGCAATGCTAGGAATCTCTGTATAGCTATCCTTATCTCACCTAGCAAAAATGCTTTGTCTTTCTTATTATTGCTTTTGTCTTCTCTTCAACAAAATTAGAGATAAGGGCAGAAAAGGTTCTGCCTGGAAGCCTGGGGGGTTGGGGGGGAGCAGGGGGAGAAATGGCCCAAACAATGTATGCACATGTGAATAAATGAATAAAATATTAAAAAAAAAAAGAATTCAATCTTACTAGTTCAACAGCTACTATTCTGAAAGTTTGGTTTTGTGGATTTCACTTTTTGTTAGAGATTCTATGCTGGTGAACTAATTTTAGCTCAGTGGAATCTGTTCTTCCCAATTTTTGCTAGGGAGGGGTTGCTGGGAACCATGCATATACTACATGAGAAGTTGACTGCCAGATTTTCATTCATCCAAACATTGCAGTAATGACACTATTTGTATTTAGGGAAAAAAAACCAAAAGAACTTTCAACAACACAGGATCATACTGTATAATAGTTTTTATTTTTCTCATTTACTATTTTTACATTTTATGCACAAATATTTTTTATCTGAGTAAAAATAGAAAATAACTGTTTCATGTAAAATTACAAAAAAACACAAAGAAATACATAATTGTTATTATGACAGTATAAGTGTCTTTATTTAAAGAGTAAAAATGTATGCAAAAATCATCTTCCCTTTTACAAAAGATTGAGAATATTTTTCTCCTGGCAACAAGTGAAATATTGAAGTATCAATATTTTTATAACCTTTAAGTCTGAAGACATTAAGTTAGTCACAGGTTTGTTTTGCAATTATGAATTTTAAAACATTGTTGTGCTATTTCAAAGATACACTAGTTCTTTATAAAAGTAGCATAAACTAATGAACGCATAAAACAGTAGACATCACCAAAAATATCTGGAGGCACAACATTTTAAAAGAAGTATCATAGTTGAGTATCACCATTCATGTGGGGGGAGATAATAACCAGATTTTTTTCCTAATTAATTGATATGGACTGATACCAAAATGTGATCAGTTGATTACTGTGAAGGTCAACCACACATAGCAATTCTGCCTAATTTGTTTGATTCTTCCAAAGTAAAACACAAATTTTTCAGACTTCAGGCTAGCAAGACATGCACATTAAGTTGGTTCAATGTAATCCCCACAATGAAAAAGTTTTAAAATAAAAGTAAGCATTTAATTTTTTATACTTGTAAGATACAAAAGATGATCAATAATTTTATGTCTTCCTTTAAATACATCCTCAATTTTCCTGGGGGGAGGGGAACTGAGCAAAGAATGAATTGTATTTTCTTTCTCAACATAAATTATTTTTTAATAGAAGAAAAGACTAGCTAACTGTAACCTCAACAAAAACAACAGAAACATTTTATATGTAAGTTGAGACACAATAAGTTTCTTGAATCAATTGGAGAAAAAAAAGTCACATATACCTATTTTATAGTACATAAAATAATGGTGAGAGAGGTGAAGAAGTAAAAGGAAATAGCATCTCATCATGTATGAGAACCATCTCTATTCAAATTAATAGAGAATGAAGAATAGAGCAAAAAATGCAAAAGAAAGAAAAAAGTAAAAAAAAAAAAAAGCACCAGGACAAAAAAAAAGTTTGATTTTGATTTTAGGGACCTAAAAGAAATGTGGATACTTCTTTCCTTAAAAACATGTAACATATAAATGAGACATAAAGAAAGTCTGTCCTCTTGGCTAAAAACTTTAACATAATGTATTAAGAGTATTTTAAATCTAAAAGTAAAAATTCTTGAACTGATATACCAGAAGAGTATACTTCATTACTTTTTTTTAAAACAAGAAGTGACTTGTCAATTCCCTAGGCCTTAAAGAGTATGGTACAAAACATTCTTTATTGCTACTTATTTTTTATCTGAAATTAGGACTTCTATATATTATTTCATATTTTAATATTCTATTTGAACATTCTTAAAATCACAGTGCCCAAATTGTGCTAATAATTTGTTAGTTTTATTGTCCGTGTTTATAAAAAGTAAAAATGAAAGATAGAAATTTTACTCTTTTTAGGTATTTACTGCAGAATCTTAAAGGACTTAGTACATATAAATGTACAATACATGCTGAAGTCCTGTATCACAGTATTTAAAATTTAAGGTTACTGGAGAAGGAAATCAGAGATCCCTCTTCTCTTCCTCAACCTTAAGATTCCTGCTCTTATGATTCGTTCCAAACCACTCTGAGCACTGGCAGTACTGCCTCGGCCCTTCCCTCCAAATCACCATCATCAACTGAGCTCTTCTAAAGCTGTTCGGCAGGGAAGGGGGGGGGGCGGTGAAGGAGGGTGGGAGATGAATTTAAATGAATAAAGAGGGAGATGTATCAAGTAATGTCTGAGGATCAACCTTCTGCTATAAAAGGTATCTGCCTCGCTCTCATCATGATTCATGTGTAATACCTTAAAAACAAGAAAAAAGACAGACTTTTCTAGCCATTTGTTTAGTGTTAGTTTGTAAGAAGGAATTTCACATAAAAATTATTTAATTTTAAAGATTTTAAAAATAAATTATTTAATAAATCTCCCTTTTGAGTATCTTTATGCCTTCATATTATATGTGAATATGTATAAAGTGGTCAACTGGACATGTATATAGATACTTAAAGTCACACAAATATAAAATTCAAAAGAAAACAATTTTAAAATGGGAAGTTTTGAGAGAAGACTGCCTATAAGGGAGGTAAACTTTCCCTTTTATAACTATTTGCAAGTAATTTACTAACATCTTGAAAGGTAAAGAAAGTACTGTTGTCTGAACTAAAGTATTAATTTTATCAGAAATACAGGAATATATAAGCAGTGTTGCATAATAAACTGGCACTACATATTAAATTTTTTTTTTTTTTTTTTTAAAAAAGGAAGTCATACCAAACTAAACCTAACTTATTTTCTGGCTGAGGTATACATTTTAGTTTTTTAAATCTCTGACAGGAAAAACAGAGATCATTTCAGAATTTTTGCAATAGTTGGTTTATTAGAATTAAATGCCTCTCTCAAAATAATTTAAATTCCTGGCCTGGCATAATGAATAATCTAGAAAACCATTAACAATGGCTTGAGGTAAGCCAGATTTAAACCTGGATCTTTGTCTTCAGCACTGCTCTTTTGCCAGTCAACTTATTATCCTTTACTTGCAGATATATAAATTACTTTAATAAACTGATACTCTTAGTTTAGTAATTTGTTAATACTACTATAATTTTATTCTATATCAACATTTTAGCTCTGCTTGATTAGATGAAACAGGCACACATGCTTTAGCTGAGCAATTCCATTTTCTGGTTCTATGTAAAGCAACATCTAAAGTAGCAGAGGGGAAACAGTTATATTTTCAAAAATAGTTAAGCCAGACTGTTTCCTGTAGATATCTCATTTATTTTTATCTTCAGATGCTACTGGTTATTTTTGGTAGGGCTAGACAATAATACTGACCAGTTTAGCTTTTCCTGACTGTTAACAAACTACCCCACAATGAAGCTGCTCTCATGCTGCGGACATCGTGGTGATCCTTTAACATACATGTTTTCTAAAATATATGCTCAAAGTAAAAAGATCCAAATTCACAAGAGTATGAAATATTTATAAAAAAATCATGCATCAGATTGTACAATCTAGAAATAAAAGAGGATTCAAATTCAGTAATAAAGGTAAGAGCAATGCTTGCTCTAAGTATTTAAGAAAGACCTTAGCCTCCCAGAAAGTCCTGGGCCTCAATTATCCTTTTCTGTTTGTAGAGAAGCAGTAGCCAGGGCTACAGCTGTGACTGGTTGCGCAATTCCATGGAGCTGCATCTTTGCAAGTTTCTTCTGTTCACATTCTGTAACCAAACGGTTCAATTCTGCTGCACTGTATCCAATAAGAGTCTTCAAGTCACAGACAAATTTGTATACAAATCTCTTGCCTTGAACTTTGCAAATCATGTCTCCATCATAATAATACCTTTAAAAAGAGAAAACCACATTAGAGCTATATAAAAAATTGAGTATTTGGACTTTTTACATTTCAGACTATTTCATAAGCAGAAACCTAGTAAAGTACTGCACCCACCACAACAGCAATTAATAAGGAAATTATATGAATATATATAATGTTACCATCTAAGGAAAAACATTTACTAAACTTTCAATGTTGGGTACTCCAAAACCTTATATATTAAACTTTCAAATCGAAATTTCAGCAATTATAATACACCACCAATTTAAAAACAAACATAATGATTAAAACAAACAAACCCCCAAATCTTGGGAGTGGCAGTTGGACCTAACCACAAGGGCTTTTAGGTCAAACACTTATTACCTCTGTGACCACAGGAAAATGACATTCCTCTAAGCTTTTATTCCTCATCTATAAAATGAGGTTAAAAACCAGTACTTACCCTCACAGAATTGTTGAGGATTAAAGCCAAAATCTTTATAAAGTGCTTAGCACACATGACTGGCATATAGTTAGTACTCTATAAGATATAAGCTATGTTAATAAGAATTCAGATAATAAAAATTTTCAACACATATTCTAATTCTATGGATTGTTGGAATGTCTACTTCCTTTCTGTCATGCATAAAATCCAATGTGATGTCTTTATCACTGTACTACATAAAGGCTTCCCAAATTTCAGAGAAATTGTACAAAGCTAATTGGGGCTTCAAAAGAATAAGTAGGTTAGAAGAAAAATAGGATACAGAAAAAAAGGAAAAATGACATTATAAAGGAAATAAAAAAGTGAAAAGTACACAATACTTATACTTTTATTAGTATGATTCCCTTTCTTTAAAACTTGAATTTTTCTTACACCTTTTAAATTATGAAATATGTCACACCAACAGAAAGGACACAAAAACTTAACAGCTCAGTGATTTATTACAAAGTGAACATTCGCCTGTTAACTATCACTCTGGTCTAACATATCACCACCAGAACCTAGAATCCCTGCTATGTGGCCTCCCAATCACTCTCCTCCATTTACTTGAAAGGTAAACACAATCCTGCTTCATCATAGTAATTCTACTGCTTTTCTTAAGCAAGCATCCCTAACTGCTTAATTTACTTATCCTGTAAGCATCACTAAATAAATGTGTTCATACAGAATATAGTGCTTTGGGTCTGGATTCCTTCCTGAATATTATGTTCACGAGGTTCATTTACACCATTATTTGTAGCAGTAGTTCATCTTCACGAATGCACAGTACTTCACTGCATGACTGTACCACAACTGATTTATTTACTCCTCTGCATGGGTGGTTTCTGATTTCTGGATGCTATAAATAAGCTGCTGTATGCATGTGTGTGGACATTCACAGATTTTCTATTCGGTATCTACTTAGCAGAGTCCCTGCTGAGTACATTCCTACCGAAAGTGTAGAACTGTCCCCACTGCTCCATATATCCTCACCAACACTTGGTACTGGGGATACTTTTAATTTTGGTCACTCTGGGTCATGATGTACCATTTTACTGTGGATTTAAATTGCATTCCCCAATGATGATGTGCACCTGTGCACATACGTGATCATTTGGATAATCTAAGTGTCTGTTCAAGTCTCTTGCCCACTTAAAGTTTTCCAATTGATTGTTAAAGTTCTTCAGATGGTCTATATACAAGTCTTCCATCACATAAGTGTGGCTTTTCTTTCACTCTCTCAATAATGATGGCTTTTGATGACTAGATGCTCTTAATTTAAATGTAGCCAAACGTATTCATCTTTTCCTGTAAGGTTAGTCCTCAAAGAAATGTTTTCCCCCATTGCATGAAGTCATGGGGTATCCCTACATGTTTTCCTATTCTACTTCTCTACAGTTACAACTTCAAATTATACAGAACTGTTTTCAGTATGGTATGAAGATTATTCAAGTGTCAGTAGTCCCATCTCTGGCATGGAAAATTATCCTAGCAGTGCTGAGTGAAAGTAGGCCTTTTCCTCCCAAGTTTTCTTCCTACTGCCATTTCCTTAAATCAAATACTTATATATTCTTAGTTATACTTGAGCTTTCTATTCTACTTAATTGTCTATTTATCTAAGTGAACAGCATGGCATGTTGTTATTATAGCTTTGCAATCAGTCTCCGAATCCTGTAGAGCAAGTCCTACTTTGCTTATGAGATTCTTACATGAGAATGTAAAGTTCCTGCACAAATCTACAATGATCAAGTTCTATGAGACAGCTTTGCAGATTTTGAAGGCTGCTGCCTTAAAACAAGCTGGAGACTGACACCTTAATTATTGATTATAAGAATGTAGTCTTTTTTTTTTTTTTTTTGGTGGTGGTGGTACTGGAGTTTGAACTAGGGCCTCACACTTGCTAGGCAGACACTTTACCACTTGAGCCACTCCACCAGCCCAAAGAATGTAGCCATCATTTTGAGGGGACTTGTCAACTTTTAAAAATGTTAAGTTTTAATTCTGAGTATATGGAAAAGACTTTGGATAGTTGGCCAAGTGTTTAAGATTGAATGAATTAATAAGCACAATAAATACTAAGCATTTTAGTTACTAAAAAGTCATCCAGAAAAAGAAAAATAATGGTAAACTATGTGATGGCCATAATTCTGCAACAATGAGTATCAATATAACCAAAATCCTCATATAATTATATTGGAATGAGAGAATGGAAAGAGTGTGTGTATATATAGTGATGACAGCTAAAACATAATCTCTCAGTGTGAAATTCAGACAATGATCAGTATGAAGCAGTAAAATCATGTTACTTAGAAACAGAAGTAAATTACAGAACTACTTTATTATCATCCCAAAAAGTTACATGTAATTCTACAAAATCCCTTTTATTCTCCCTCTCTGATATAGTGAATTTCAGTCACTGTACTAAGTATAACTGCTGATAGTAAGTTATGTCAAAAAATTTCATACTATTTATGGAAAATTACAAATAATTTTATTCTATTCCAATTTCCTATTTTTCGATATTCAGATTTAGGCAGATGTAGGAGGAAAAAAAAAAGCAGAAAAATAAATCAATATTTTGCATCAAGTTCTAAAAATAGAATAGTATTCGCACATGTTAAAATTTATGCTCAATTTACTCATGCAAATCACAGCATCTTTATCTGATATGCAAATGATAAAAACCTCAAAGATTAAGCATGTTGATTTTGAACAAATTATTACATGCTTTTAAATCAGATAAAAAATCTTAGAATGATCGTTTGAAAGGCATTACGTACCTTAAAATTATTAAAATCATTTTTAAAAGGTCATTTTTCAATATAACATGTATGAAACTTTTAGGCTTTTTTCAAATAGAAAGAAAACATCTTATGACTAAGTCAAATATTTTAGTATCATTATATAACAACATTTACATACAGAGTAAGAAGCTACTTTTTAGAAAAGCTGGATATTAGAAAAAAGAAGTAATGAATGTTTACCTTAACGCACGACTGAGTTTCTCATAGTTCATTGTAGGCTTATTTTTGCGCTGTCCCCATTTTTGTGCAACCAGTTCAGGCTGATTTAGCTTAAACTCGCCCTCATCACCAACCCAAGAAATACAGTCTCGAGCATCCTTGTCAGTGAGAAGTTCTAGCAAAAACTGCCACAGCTGGATTTGACCATTATTTCCTAAATTAACAAGAGGAACAAGTATTGACCATAGGGTTATAAATTAACAGAGGCAAAGGAAGACACAGGTTTTCTAGTTTGGATCTAGACCAAAACCAAATTTCTGAGTTTATAAACACTGTCTGCATGCTGCCTGAGAAATAGTCCATGCTCACATTTTCATATGATAAGACAACACATACCTAATTTTTAAAAATTTATAAATATGAGTTAATGCAAAAATACCTGTTCTGTTCCCAGGTGAGCTTCTATCTTCTCCTGAAATCCTTGGAGCTCTTTGTACTTTAGCAGCCTTTGCACTACTATTTATAACTTTAATGGTTGTTGGTGTAGCAGACTGCACTGATGCTGGAATAATCTGCACAGCTACAAGAAAAGACAAGGGGAAAACCTTTTTTTTTTCCCCCAATACAAGCAGTGAAAAAAATTCTTTAAAGACATTAAATGCAATCAATTTAACTAATGCCCCTATAATTACATCAAGAAAAGACTTCATTATAAGAAATCCTTAATTCACTTCGGTTTTGAATAAAATCCTTCACATTTCAAGAATATCATGCTTTTATTATGGTTTGTGAATCTTAGCTTGGTGAGTTAAGAGTTGTGTCTTATTTTGAAAAGATTAACTAACTTAGTGGTGCATGTACATTAGACAAATAATTGTAAAAACCTTTGTTTTAAAAATATTTTGTTCATAAAAATGGTCTAACAGATGTAGGAGAAAATGTGGACAAATAAGAATTCACATTCCATGATGAATGAGACTGTGAACTCATACAACCTCTTTGAGAAAAATTTTGGCACTACTAAAGGTAAAAAGATAGAAACCCTGTGATACTATCTTACAAATATTCATTCAATGTTCATAGTATTAAAAAAAAAATCACTGCTCAGGCAGTGAAAATGAATGAAACTGAAGTTGCAAGTGCCAAAATGGGTTAAGCTTATAACTGTTAATCAAAAAAACAAGTTATAAAATATTATGCATACATCACCATTTTATCCCAAACCTTAAAATGTGCGAAATAATGCTATAAAGTATTTATGGTTACACAAATGGTACAGAATCATATACATTGAGTTGGGGATAGTTCCCTATTCAGAGGAAAACAGGATGTACAGCAGGTAAACCTGAAATAATAAAGTTTATTTCTTACAGTATAAACTGGTATTAGTTATAAAACTTTATTTCTTTGTACATCTAAAATCTTTCCTAAACTTTTAAAGAAAAGTTTAACTTGTAGTATAAAATACAGAAGACATTTCTTATTGATAACTGGGCAAATATTATGGGCATGAACACTCACGTTGATCAATTGTAACTATCTCATTCATTTGTTGTTCTTGGCTTGCCAACACATCTGAAGAACACAGAAAAATATTTTTACTTTCATTTTAAATCAGAAATAAAAATTCCAATACAGTAAAACTCAGCTTAATAAATATGATCTTTCAAAAGAAAGCTCTATAATTAAAAGCAAAACCAATCAACCAAACAAAAAGAGCAAAATATGAAGCAATTGAAACTTAGATTAAAAAGTATAAAAGAAAAAAAACCACACACACACACACACCCCCCCCCCCACCCACCTGATGGTCACTTTAGAAGAAAGGCAAAGATGTTTGAGAGAAGTGACAAAGGAAAATTCTTTCTTTTACTTTTAGAAAGTAATTCAAAGAACTATGGTCTTCTAAATATAAATATGTTAACTAAGTCTTATCACTCTACATAAAACCATGTAAAAATATGACAATCTCCCAGATCTAAGGGAAACAATACCAAACTGAAATTATTTGCACACATTCTCAACAATAACAAACAAAAAAATTCTCCCTTGGGATCATCTGTTGTAACATCTACTTTTGAAGAAAGCTACTATAAATTTATAATGATGCTCCTACTTAAAAACAGCTGCTTTCAATAAAACCACAGCTGTCCTAAATGTAAAACTTGACAATTTAACATATCAACAAACCTGATTCTCAATATAAGAGTTACACTACACAAGGTCCTAACATAACCCTTTACAGAACTATTCATTACTTATCTGTTACTTTTCCCAGTGAAAATGCTGTTCTCTGCTTGTCAAACAATAATTACACATCCCAGTCTTTTAATACTTCACCTCATTTAATAGTCATCATAAACTATGTTTATCTCTTCAACTGAAGCCAACAGAAATCATTCTAGGTTCTGAGTGAGTCCTTGGACTTGGGACCCCAGGAAGAATCTACCTAAGGGTGCCATGCCACAATACAGTTCCAGAAGGAAAGCTGGAAATGGCTGGGAACTAAGACGAGGTCTGATTCCTAGCCATCAGATAGGAATTTTCTTTTAGGACCAGCACAATTACATGGAACTAGCTTCAGACAGATCTGGCTTCAGATCTTAGCTTTCACTTACTATGACTTTGGCAAATCATTCTACTTCTCTGAACATTAATTTCCTTATGTCTAAGTGAGAGAAGCAAAGTACAAAGTTATCTTTCCAGTATACTGAAGATGTTGCTGTTTTATTCAGACTTCTAGTTCTGAGTTCCTAGTTCTGCTGTCTCCCTTGAAGAAAAATCCATGCTTATATGGAAATGTGCTTATAGGAAAAGGCTACTGAAATCCAAATTGTTCCACTGTGATTAAATGAATGGAAACAACCTAACTACAAGAGAGACAAATGAGAAAGTAACCATCATAGTCCAGAACGATCAACCTATAAAATCAGTTTCTAAACCTGAATTCTCAGACTTGAGTTTGTTTCTTGGGACAAAAGAGAAACAGAACACTGAAAGAGAGGGCTTTTTGAATGCTTGGTCCAAGAAAATACAGACAATCTTGGCCATACATGAAAGAAGCAGAGGCCTTAGAGGCAAAGTCCTAGGGAGTATAGGGTTATTTATGAAGAAACATTAGGTAAAAAGTAAGTAATTCTTCTTACTAAAGAAGACCCTCAACAAACTGAGACCTTTGCCTTGAGTGATGAAAGAGAGCTCTTCATGTTAGGTAGTATGCTGTAGAACTGGTAGTATAGAATATTGCCTAATTCTCTCTCCCCAAGTATAGTAGAACTTGGATGAAGTTTCAATATAAGGGGAATTGCACACAGGCAGTGATTCAGGTGGGTAACGGAACATGTAGATATACAAAAGGAGCTCTATTTCTTTAGTATTGCTTCTCCTTGACAGATCTCTGAAGATGAATAAAGGACAGGTCAGTAAATATTCTGCCCCAAAGACATGCTGCAGAATTCTCTATAAGAGGGACCAGAGTATTATATTAGTCTGCACAAAGAAGCCTATTCTGAGATGTGAGTCTTCATCCTGCCTGTTCTGTAAATGCTGAACTGAGCCTTAGATTCTTAAACCAGATGGGATGTACTCATGAAGGCACAGCAAAGAACCATCACTTGACAAGCAAGGAATTCTGTAAGATGCTTATCTAAGAAACTATGGGGGCTCTGTTGTCACTGTTTTGGAAAACAAAGCAACAATTGCAGAGCACAGCTTTTCTAAGAAGACCCATTCTACTGCATGGAAACAAGAAGATAAACAAGACACTTTTTGCCTTTTGACTAGGAAAAATGAATGAATGAATAAGCATACAATTTGAGGAATACTGAGAGAACCAGAAAGAAATAACCACAATAAGGAGTTGACCTGGGAGAGACTATAATACCATGAGTTTGGGAAAAACTAAGCTGTTGTTTAAGCATCATCCTTCTTGTACACTTGAGAATTCCCAGAAGAAAATGTTCCAAAAAACATGATTCAGTAAGAATCTGAAACAACAAAAATTTATCTTATTCATCTGAAAAGCTCTGCAGAGAAGAAAAATGTGAAACCAATGACAAAACTTTAAGACATTCAACGTACTTATCTGTGAGAACTGAAAATGAAAATAAACCCTAAAATGCAATTAATGTAGTCAGTCTTTTGATCTAATACTTTAAAAAAGTATCTAAAGAATCTACACATAAGACTATGGATAAAAGAAGACAAGCCTCTCTACAGAGCTCATTTCTCACTTAATAGCAGGGAAAGCACCTTAGATGAAAATGCTAAGTATTAAATTACTGTGAAATGTCTCTTCACCAGAGCTCTTCCCTCACAGGATATATAGTAGAACAAAATATGAAACATTACATTGCTATCCACAACTAGCATCTCTGATTTACAAAACTATTAGAAAATGGGTTACTGGTAAGATGTATGAAGAGTCACTGAAATATATAATGGGTTAAGATTCAAACAAAATGATTTACATTTATGTGAGCTTTTCGGTAGTCAAGCTTTTCTAATTTTTCTACATTACTTAATTATAATGTCTGTGGAACCTAAGTTATAAATGGAAATACTTATAAACAGTGTATTCCAATTCAAGATGGTGGACTGTATACTTAACACTCCTCCTTTCTTAAGACTATTCAATTAATAGTAAAGAAAATCAAAAAGATCCAATCCCATCAGTAAGAGAATAGGAAGGAAGCCATTTGTAAACAAAAATTTCTAGATGAGCAGTAAATGGAAGACTCACTGAAACAGAAGGCAACAACTAGAAGATGAAAAGGGCTAAGGGAAGAGCATGGATTCTCACAGGGCACAGTGGCACAACCTATAATTCCAGCTACTCAGAAGGCTGATGCAGGAGGGTTACAAATTAAGAACACCCAGTTTCAAAATAAACAAACAACAACAACAAACACTTGGATTCTAGGTTAGAATACTGCTTCAGCCATTCCCTAAGCCCTATCAATTTGTGGGGATCTCTTTCCTTCCTAAAGAGTAAGGGAAGTTAGGCTGGCAGTGTGACTCAAGTGGCAGAAAGCTTGCCTGGCAAGCATGAGGCACTGAGTTCAAACCCCAGTGCCACCAAACAAACAGACAGACAAAGATGTGTGACATTATTATAGGTACTAAATAATACTTACAGAGCTCTCAACATTGCAGTTGGGAAAGTTAATTAGCATCGCTTAATTGTTTGCTTATTAATTATCTGCTTATTATTATTGCTAAAGATGAACAAGTAAGATGAAAACAAACTTATAAAGAAATAAGCTGGGTGCCAGTAGCTCACACCTGTAATCCTAGCTATTCAGGAGGCAGAGATCAGGAGGATCGCGGTTCAAAGCCAACCCAGGCAAACTGTCGAGCCCTATTTCGAAAAAACCATTCACAAAAAAGGGCTGGTGGAGAGGTTCAAGGTGTATGCCCTGAGTTCAAGCCCTAGTACCGCAAAAAAAACCCCCAACAAAACTCCCAAAAACAAAAAAGAAATAAAATGAAGCTTAAATTACAACATAAATAGATAATTCTAATTTTATACATTTTCGAAGAAGCTCCAGATGACTCCAGAGAATTTCTCCCCGAGGGACTCGCTGAAAAAAATCTTCTTGGTTGAGACTACATAATTCTCTTCCAGAAATGTTGAGTGTGGTGAGGTCTATATCAGTCATGCTGAACTCCTTCATTACCCAAACCACCCAATGCAGGACTTGGTCTGTGGACCACTGTATAGGATCTAGAAAGAAAAATATGACCTTTAGCCTAGTTCCATCTTAGGTACTATATTTACAGTTAACTTGTCAATATACATATATTAACACACAATATCCAAATAGATTATTTTACTCAAATGAAGTGAACTCATTATATGACGTAAAGTTTCTTATCTGTATTGGTTCCTCAATTCCTTTTCAATTTCTCAGTCTAAATTTCGATGGAGTCATTTGTCTACATCAGTTGGTCTAGAATTTTATTAAGTAAAACAAAATCCAAAATTGTTCTCAAATGGGACAAATAGAAGAATAAAATATGTGATTATCTGTGAGATAATAAATTATCTAAATTCAAAATATTATTTTCAAACATTGTCTGATTTGGTGCAGTGAAAAAAAGTATAAGGGGATTCTAGGGAACTAGCCTTATTCTCCAAAATATTAACGATGTACTCTTTCCTTCTGGGTTGATTGCTCTTGTACTTATTTACTTATATGGTGGTACTTACAACACAACATATTTAATACCTGTTTAGTCCGCTGTCCCCCTACAAGAGCATCATGCCTTAAACAGAAGTACTGTGCCTTGTAAACTCTACCTTCAGAGTACACCACAGTGCCCTGCATATACATTTATTTAATTTATAAAAGCATACCCAAATAATTTTATTTGCCCTATCTTTTACTATCTAATTGAATTTGCAAATGAAAATGATGGCCAATATGTATGAATATCACTTCGCTATTTTCCTGGCACCTATTACAACATATTATTTGTGGAAGGTTAATAAATTCTAATTGAATTAATTTTGCTGTTGGTATTCTTGCTTTAAGATGAACTAAGGGAAAGAGGCATGACTCAAATGGTAGAGTGCCTCCTAGCAAGTATAAGGCCCTGAATTCAGACCCTGTATCACCCTCCCCCACAAAAAGATGATGGTCGATTCTCTTACTTAGTATTGATTATTTAACCAACAAATTAATGTTATTCAATTTTAAAAGTTGAGAATATAACATTATCAAGGGCCAATTTATGATAGAAATGAATCAAACATACAAATACAGGGATAACAGCCAGAGGTTTTTTTTTTTTTTTCCTTGATTTTTTCAACTAAGGTGAAGGAAGTATTCTAGGGAGGTGACAGAAAAGTTTAATTTTTCTCAACATACACAAAAAAGCAGAAAAAGCAACTAGGTGGCAAAACAAAAAACACATGAAATGACAAGATACTACTATGTACTTCATAACGTACATAGGCAAAACAATAAAAGCTGAAAGATGCTGGGTGGTGCACACCTGTAATCCCAGTTGTTCAGGAGGCTGAGGGAGAGGATTGAAACTCTGAGGCCAGTTAGGCATCATAGAGAGAACACATCTCCCCTAGTCCCACACCCCCAAAAGCTACAAGACTTCCATCTTGTCCTAGCATTTGTGCAAAAGAAACTAAAAGGAAGCAGAAGAACATCTGACCTATTCTGAGCAAGGGAAAACCTGAACACAGCCGGACATAACTACTGAAAGTACAACAGGCCAGGCCAAAGGCAAAGGCTAAACAACAGTTTTGTCCAATTCAACAGCAGCTAGTACAAGAGGGAATAAGGGAGTGGAAACAAAAGTAAGAACCATAGGGATACCAAGAAAATGTAAAGAGAAGGCTCAGATAAAAGTACAGTGGAGAGAAAACAAACAAAAAAAGGTAACAAAGAAAGAAAAGGAAAAAAAAAAGGCAAAAGAAAAGAGCAGAATAAGGGAAGAAATTTCTACCACACTACCCAAAAACAGAATAGGGAGTAAAGATGGATAGGCGATTTCAACCAGGTTTTTGAAGATAATAAGCACAGTGATAATGAATTTAGTAGGAGAAACTATGACCTAAAATGTCTATCCAGAGAATACTAATAAGAAGTGAGAGAATTCCTCTATAAACCCCTTGTATTGGCTCTTCCTCCTCCACCACAACCATACATACACAAAGATACCAAGATGGAGAATGGTAAATGTTTATCTTGTTTTATACAGAAGAGAAATAAACCTCATTTATTGTAATATGAAGTCAGTCATAATTAAAAGCAAAAAAAGCAAAGCACAGTTGTACTTAGGGAGCAGGCCTGAAGACAGAAAAGCTGTGAGACAGAAAAGCTGTGTTAGAGAGCCAGTATTTTTCCTAAGACATTTTTGTTCTTTCTTTTAATAAAATGTAAAAGATACACAATAAATGACACAGCTAAGCTGTGGTATTAAGGGAGAACTATGGAACTGGACATCTACCTAGATATAAGTCAACTGTATCTGTAATACTTACTATGTAAGTATTTTTCAAATGTAAACATCTGACAAATCTGAAGGCCAAAAAAACCCACAGAGTTTGGTAGCTGGGGCTGTGGCTTAAATGTGAGAGCAACTGCCTATAAAGTATGACACTTGGAGTTCAAACCCCACTACCACAAAAAAGCACAAAAAAAAAAAAAAAACTCTCATGACTCTGTTTTTAAAAAGTATTCAAACAGAATAACAAAATTTTAAAAAAAGACCCTCAGAAAAGCTGTCTTTTCAGTAGTCTTTTACTTTTTCAATAAAGAACAAGGACAACCATTTTGACTTTGACTTTACTTTTAGCCAGTATTAACATTTCTGATAGCTAATCTCTTTGGTCAGACTTCTACCTAATATGTATTTGTTAATCTGAATTTCATCCCCATTTGTTCACCATGAAATCTAAAAAAATCAGCAGGAAGAAAACACTATCTGCGTACCTATATACACATACAAATACACAATGAAGTAGCTCTATGTTGTAAGATGTGTGCAAAGTGCACTTTAGGAGATTTTCAAATGTGGATCAATATTTCAAAGAGATTTAAAGTAGTTATCATTAGAGTTAATCTCATGTCAGTGTTACTCAGAATTAAAAAATTAGCCAAAGAACTACCCTTAGGTATAGAAACAGAAACATAAAAATGACAGTTTTCCAAGAAAATATTAATCATTTCTAAATCTTACTAGCAAGTAACAATTTCATATAAAAATTAATCAATGATAAATCTCAAGTGTTTGACATGATTGGTAGGAACTTTAATCATAGTCATAATCTTGCTAAATACATTTCTATATATTACTTTCCAAAAAGATTCTACTACTGAAGAGTTCTTGTGGAAAATACAACTCTGCATTTCTCCTCTCAAAAGATGATTCCTGACTTACTAACACAATGGTCAACTAAACCATACACATGTCAAAAATAGACTCAGAACCTCATGCCTATTATCCCACATCTTCAATAGGCAGAGATTGAGAGTGTCATGGTTCAAGGCCAGCACAAGCAAAAAGTTATCAAGATCCTATCTCAACTGATAAGCTGGACATGGTGGTTCATGCCTGTCACCCCAGCTACAAGGGAGGCATAAAAAGGAGGATTGCAGTCTGAGGCCAGCATGGGCAAAACAAAAGACCCTATTTGGGTCTAAAGCAAAAAGGGTTAGAGGTGTGGCTTACGTAGTACAGCAACAGCCTAGCAAGAGCAAAAATCCCGGACAGTTTAAAAAAAAAAAAAAAGTAAAAATAAGTAACTTTATCTAGTTGCTTCTTGGTATCCATAGAGGACTTTTTCCAGGATCACCAGGGATACCAAAATCCTCAGATACTTAAGTCTCTTATATAAAATGACAAAGAGTTTGCATATAACTTATGCACATCACTTGATATAACTTAAAACATACCTAAATTATTTAAAATATATAATACAATATAAAAAGTTGTGTTGTTCAGGGAATAACAACAAGACAAAGTCTGTACATGCTCAATACAGATGCAATTTTTTCCCCAAAGAACCTTTTAATATGCAGTTGGTTGAATTCAAGGATACTGTAATCAGAACACACTGATCCAGAGGACTAACTGTTCTTTCAACTGCTCTATCTTTTCTACTCTCATATCTCTGAGAATGGCTACATCTCATCCCTGGAATGAGTTTTTTTAACTTTCAATTAACAACCCAATAAACAAAACCATTTTATCTACAAGTACATTCAGGGCATCAACAACTCTCAAAATCTTTCCTAGCACTTTTACCCACCTTCCCCCCATACACCAAAGTTTGTAATTAATTTTCTCCAATTTCTAAAATGTCTATTTCTTATAATTCCGCTTTGCCCTGCTAATTCTGCAGTAACTTTTATCTAAATTTAACAATGAACCTCTGATGCTATCAGTATTGTTTTACTTTCTCGAGTGTCTCCAAGTCTTGACCTAAACCTAAAACTGTCTCTCAGTTGCATGCCACTACAAACTATATAGTTCTTATTTTTCATCTATCTCTTCAGCAATTTTTCTTTCTTCCCCAACTCTGAGGGTATATACAGTCTTGGAATCAGTGTTTAATTAAATATTGTGTTCTTTTCCTTATTTTTTCTATTTGTACTTTCATAAAAGTAGACTACCTGTACTTTTGTCTTCAAGTACAAATTCAAAGTTGAGTGAATCCCATATAACATCTCTCCAATCCACAAGCAGTGCACCTAAAACTATATTCTTGTGGCTACCTCTGGCTGATTATGTGCTTTCACATCAAAATCAAGTGCTATCAACACTTTCCCTTGTCACTCCTTTCCTGACCACATTTCCCTACTTCCCCAACAAGATTTACAAAGGCATGCTCTCTTTTGCATGCCATAGTAAGCCCAGCATTTAACACAGTGCCTGCATATGGTAGCATTCACCACACATGCAATGAAGATGCAAGTAATTTTTACCAAGATTACTGCCTTATCCACTCAAGCTTAGGAAGTCAGATCAGTACTGAATATATCCTCTCTAAGCTCATAAGCTGTCAATTTTCTTAGTCCTATCAATGCTTTCACCTACTTCTTCCTTTCCACTCTCAAAAAATCATCTAGTCTAGGCTAGCCTGGACATTACAAATGTGTAAACTACAATAATATGCTCTTGTTTTCTTCCTTCCCGGTGTCTACATACTGAACTTATAGGCTGTATCACTGCCACATTCATTTTTCAGTTATCATTTTCGCTGATCAAAAACAGTTCTACAATGTTACAGAATAACTCTTTATCCTCTCATTTCTCACACATACTTCTCGGTCTAACCTTAGCTATGAATGTTTCCCATCTGAAATGTCCTTCTCTGTACTGTAGCTTCTTGTTTATTATAAACCCTTCACACATTTTCTCTCAGACACTATGATCCTTTTGAGATTCTGTTTTGTTTTGTTTGTTCATTGAGACAGGGTGGTGCTATATAAGTCCAGGCTGGCCATGAACTCACAATCTTCCTGCCTCATCCTCCCAAGTGCTAGTATTATAGGTGTGTGCCACCAAACTCAGCTTGATTCTTTTTAAGAATCTAACAGCATGTTTAGTTTACACAAGTTATTGACAGCTGAAATGTTATCTTTTGTGACAATTATGTCTTTTCATTTATCTTCTTTCTCTTCTACACTGTGAACACAGTAAGGACAAAAATTTTTTATATTTTTTTGTATTTCCAGTACTCAGCACAGTATTTATTCATCATTATGTGTTTAAATGTGTTATAGTTAAAAAAAAAAAGAGAAATCAACATTCTTTCAAAAGATTATACATTTAAAACAGATTATAACTTACCCTAGGGTTTTCTACATAATCTTAATTTTTATTCTAGCTCACAAATAATTATATATTTTATTACCATAGGGTATCCCAAGGCGTTCTTGTTCTTTCCTATAACCTTCCAGTGCAGCAGCCCATCTTGTCACTTGTTCTGAGGTTTCATCTGAAATGGTTGTGATGTGTTTTGTGCCATCAAGCGTTATCACTTGGGCTTCTTCAACAAGATGTGCTTCTGCTTCAGCATGGTGTGCATCTGGATCAATAACTACCTCAACAGTTTCTGCAGTTTTAACTATTTCAAGGATGTTTAGCTTTGGTTCAATTCCTTAACAGTGGACAAAAAGTTATAAATTTAAATGAAAACACAAAAGATACACACAAAAAATATGTTCTCAAATAGTAGAGGAAAATTACATTTTAAGTATTTTTAGCAATTTATTTAGAGAATTCAACAAATCCCTACTAACAATAAATATAATTCAGCAATAATAGCACTCTATCAAAATTAATTTCTTGATTTTGAAAACTGTACTGTGGTCATATAAAAGAATATTTGTGATTTTATGATTTATTTAATTTATTCTTTTATTTGTTTAGTAGAACCAGAAATTAAACCCAAAGCCTTGTACATGCTAGGCAAGTGCTCTGCCACTGAGCCACACTCCCAGTCTAAGGAGGAAATATACACATTGATGACATATTTAGGAACAGAAAGGGATCGTGTCTGCAAATTTTTCCTTGAACAGCTGACAAACAATAATGTGTACCTGTTGCAGTAACATTATGGGACATGGGTCACACTAAAAGGAGGTTATAAGGAAGGACAGGGCGAGGGAAGAAAACCAAAAACTTGAATGTGGTTGATGTACTCATTGTACAGGAATGAATACAGAAATCTTAAACTGGCTAGGGCTACCAGGGGAAGGGGACTAGGGAGGAGTGAAGACTACTGGTAGAGATGAACCAATTGGGGTTGTAATATGTATATGCATGGAAACAACAGAAGTAATCTCTCCGTGTAGCTATCTTTATCTCAAATTAGTAAAAATGCCATGTTTCTCTTTTTTAATCTTTTATGTTCCTTCTTCTACCAAATCAGAGAACAGGAGGGCGGAACAGGTTCTGCCTGTGCCTGGGGGATGAGGGTGGCATGCTGGTGGCAGGGAACCGGGTGGGTAAATGAATATGGTATAAATACACGTGTGTAAATGTAAAAATGATACCTGTTGAAAATGTTTCAGGAATCAGGGGAGGGAGAATGAAAGAGAGCAGTGAGTAGAGAGGGTGAATTCAAGTATGATGTATTTGATACATTGTAAGAACCTTTGTAAATGCTACACTGTACCCCCATCCAGCAATAACAATAATGATAAAAATAATGTGTACTTGTGGGAAGAGAGAGAATGAAAGCAAATGTAATAAAAAAGCTAACAACTAGGAGGTCTGGGTTGTAGCTCAATGGTAGAGCACTTACATAGGATGCGTAAGTTACCGGGTATCATTCCCGACAATGTGCCAAAATAAAGGATCTGGGGAATATGGGCGAAGGATATCCAAGTATTTTTTAACCAGTCTTACAACTTTACTAATTAAAAGAAAATTTCCAGTTTTTAAAACAATAAATTTAGAATTTGATAAATAAAAAGTATCAACATGGAATAAAAGATAAGAGTGCAAATGAGTAAGCTATCTACCCTCAAGACTTACATACTCTTTCTAAGCAAATTAAAATTACTGACTCTGTTCTTCTTTTTAAAGGACAAAATACATGTGTTAAAAATGGTAACTTTGTTACAAATTGAAATTCACACAGGTGATTCAACCCAAATCCTAAAGACACTCAAGCCCTAGTATAAAGGTAATAAGAACGGTAATTGCTGTGGAAAAGATAAAGATAAAGAAATGATTAAGAGATTCCTCACTGTCTGTTTCCCAATTTCAGAAATGGGGACTAAACTAAGAAATTATATCATAAAAGTAATTACTTTATTTAGTTATGTCTATACAACTGTACCTAAGTTATACTATTTATTTAAAATGGATAAGCTAGCCCTTTATGAAATTCTCTCAGATACTTATGTTAAAATGACAGCTTGAGGAAATTCATGTCATTTGACAGCAGTAGCTTCCTGAATATTACAATCTATATAAATTCAATCAAAACAAATTTGAAAGCAAAAGCAAAACTTAACTTCCATTTCTCATGAAAACCAGAATTATAAGAAAATGTACTATAATTCATTTGGTGGTATAAAGAAGTCATGTTTTTACAAATATATATGATAAAAATAATCAGAATTGGAAAAAAAAATACTCTCCTAAGATTTATTCCCTAATGTTCTACCCAAATTTCATACTTTTATGGCTTCAAGTTAATTCTTTCAAAGTTGTATCAAAAGGTCATTGGGTTTTGAAAGATTACAAAAAAAGCAATTTATTTTCTTATTTGGGACAATCAATCAATCCTGGGAGGAATTAAGAGCCAGAACCAAATAACTATCATTTTCAAAGACTAAAGAAAACTGGTTTGTGGCACACTATTGTGAGCAATTACTATGTTCAGAGATAAAATCCCAACAAACCACATTTTTAAAAACTAAAATTCAACCTACCGAAAATGGTTTTCTAATTTTATTTTCTAACTTGAGTACTTACACAAGACTAGTAAAATACTATGATGGAATGCTGACTGGGTTACTCCATATTCTTGCAAATTCTTCTCTCTGAACTATACAGACTGAAATTCCTTGCAGCAAGAGGTCCAGATGTGACTTAGATTCTAGATTCATTGTCATAAGCCTTCTATTTGGAAACAAATTAAGAGGGGACAAGCAGACGTATGATGTCCATTTCTGGACTGATATACATCAGCATGGTTGCAAGCTATCACGGTGGCTTCCATATATGTTTTCCAGATCATGGTAGAGAAGATTTCTTGGCAGTGCAGTTATGCAGTATGGCTGAGGTATTCTTTAGCAAGTTAGCTAAAACCCGTTCTTCTGGCCCTCTTGTGATTCTGCTATTTACTACAGTATGATAATATCCCTCTATTTAAGTTAGGTGGATTGCATTATACTATTTGCTTCACCCCGACAGATACAACTAAACCAAAAACTGAATATTTGGCTATAACACCACATCAATCAATTGGACAACCATCTAAAACACTTATAACACAAAAACTGAGTTACCAAATGATAAAAACATGAACTTAACTTTTAAATAACAGCTACTAAAAGTAACTTACCTTGGTAAGAAATTACCTGTACACTAAGCTGTACAGTTCCATCAGTCTTTACTCCTTGGTCAAATAAGCTTCGTTCTGGATCCAACTAAACATGGGCAAAATGAGTTAAGATTATTTAAAATCAATCATTAGATTAAGTCCCTTGCCTCTGGTTTAATATAAATGGATATGCTGAATAGGACTTATTTGTTGCACATACTAATTAAATTACAAGAAACCATTTAACTATCCAAGCTGTCACATCATTTAATTCTTTGCAAAAATTGAAAGTATTTTAACCACTGAGGTAGTAATTGAGGACAGCATAAATCACCAGATTATTTTAAGTGACAGTTTTCTCTAAGAGATCTAAAGTCTCAGCTAGAATTTTAAATAATGCCAAAAGGTAACTAACTATTCATTCTATAAATGTATTTAATGTAGAAGATAATGCAATGTCTGTCATGAATAAGCAAGGATGTTTAATGGTGATAATTAATCTAGATTTATTAATATATTCCTACCTCCCTTGTAACTAATGCCACATATTGAAGATTAAGGTTCACTCTAAATCTCTGATCACACAGTTAATGAAGTTAAAGGATTTATAACTTACTACTTCATCTAGCTATGAATGGCTTTAATCCTAATTCCATATACTTTCAACTGTAGTGCTCATCTTCCTTCACATCTCCTTACAGTGAATGCATGTCACACAGTGGCATATTAATAAGAAAAAACTAATTCTGACTTCCAGACACTTTGTATCACCAGATTGAAAACAGGTTTCCATTATAATTATCGTAAATAATGTAAATCTGTGTGTCTGCATATTATATTGCTGAAGGTACAACTTTCCTTTTACTTTCATTCACAAGAATTCCTCTGATACGCAGTCATGACACCAATGTATTTTCTAATATTTAAAATGTCATACATAAAAACCCCTACATTCTTAAGGGACTATGAGTCTTAATTTAAGCAGAGACAAGACAAACTGTGTGACCCACTACATAGGGCAAACAAGGCAATTTCTTTCCTTAATTCAATAGTTTCTATATGACGTTTTGTAAAAATTCTCACATCACATTTTTCCTTCTTGTGTAGTAGATACTAGTATTACCTACTAGGAGGTATGACATGTGCAACTCAGAAAGTAAGGTCTTAGGTACTGAATAAAATGCACAAGCATGGCAGCTGAGCAGGGGCAGACAGGATAAAACAATAAAAGCATAAAGCAACCCAAACAATCTAAAAGATGACAAAATATACATTCATATAAGGTAACATAAAAAAGTATACTGCTCTAGTATTCACTCATTCGTTAAAGAAAGGTCATGGAGAAACTTATTTGAGTAAGTCTTGTCTACTACTTATACATAAAAATACTTCTCTGGAAAAAGTACTATAAAACATGACAACATACTTCAAGTGTAATATATTAAACCCTATTGCAATAAATTCCAAGAAATATCAGTTGGTATTTAAATTCTTGTTCAAAATTTACCGCCAGAGAAAATGGAAGGGAATGAAAAAAATCATTTAGTTAATGATCTCATTTTAAAGGTGAGAAAGCTTATGCACAAACCATCTCCAAAGCCAGCTAGAAAGACAGTTCTTCTGTCTCTAGGGTCAATGTGCTTCCCATTACTCTATATTTAATCTCTACTTCCAATTTATTTAAATTTATTTTCTACTAGTGAAAGTACAAAGGAATGTCTGACTTAGTACTCCATCTTTCAAATATAACTTTAGATTGAGGAAATTTGCCTAAAGAATTCTTTTAATTTCTAAATGCTTAAATTTTATCATAATATAGGTCAAATCTGTTTACAGAGATAAAAAGCTAACAAAAATATTCTTATGCTGAAAATACAAATCCCAAAAACAGAAGTTACCTGGATATCTTGTAGGCAAATTTCATGAGCATCCAAAGAACACTGTAGTCTTGGTTCTAGTAGTTTCTTTAAATTTCCTATTGGCTCATTGATGTCTATGGCTTGGCTTACACATTCAGCTGGGGTGTAAGTTTGTTCTACAATGCTAAATGTTAAAGGATAGAAAGGGTAACAATTATGTTATCACTCTGGATATTAAAGTAACAATATGCTTAAACAAAATCCAATACCAAAACATATGACTGGTCTTTGAAAATTCATTCCTTCTCAGATACTGGGGTAAGTGTATCACCAATTGTGCAGTCAAAATGAACACCGAATTTCATAGCTAACTTGAAATCTAAAGCACTCTTGAAAGAAAATATGCCTCATTATACATATACATATGTAGTATGTGTACAACCACAAATATTGTATGTATAATATTCAAGGGGAAATGTTTGTATTATCACATTTTCAAGTTATTCTGAAGAACTTTGGGGCCAGAAAGGACACACTGTCTACTCAAACTTTGTATGCAATCTCTTACTGTCTGATTTCCCTTCCCAACATTCAATAAAGGTAAAATGCTAGGATATGAAAATATAAATTAAAGTTGGGTGCTGGTGGCTGAAGCTTATGATCTTAGCTACTTGGGAGGCTGACAACTGGAAGATCTTGATGAGGTCAGTCTAGGCAAACAGTTAGCAAAACTCAATTTCCAAAATAACTGTAGCAAAATGGAGGTGTGGCTCAAGCGATGGAGCGCATGCTTTATAAGTGTGAAGCTAGTTCAAACCCCAGTCCCACAGGAAAAAAAAAGAAAAACTAAAGGAAATACAAATTATTTTCCATTTAATTTAATCTGAACACTACTCGTTATAAACATCACTGTCCCATATTCTTAAAAAATTTATATTCCTCCTTTACGACTTTTTTAGAGCTATTCTGTTATTTCATATTTTGAATTCAAAGGGATTAAAATCTTTGGTAAGTAATTCTACATATCTCTTGTAAATGACTATATGAGGCTGAATGGAAGACAAAGGCCAATATTTGCTGAATTAATGAATGTGGAATTCAATTAGGTTTCACAACCTGTTTAATTTAAACACAACTTACATCTCATTTGTAGATGTCAAAATACATACTAAAATTTTTTCAAGCTCCATTTTCACAGAAATTCCAACTATGACATATAACATATATTCCATGAATGTATATAATTTAAATGTTTACTAAAAAATTTCAAATTTATAAAACAGACCACTAATGATTAAAATACTTGTTTTAAAATAATAGTACACTGTTGTTATTTGTTAAGGTAAAAAAAATTGAGTCTTTTGGCTAAGTGAGCACATTTGCCAAATTTTCAGCTATAAGAAGAGTAGGCTATCATTTCTTTAAACAATGACTTTTGAGAGAACCAAATGTCATGTTAAGATAGATTTTTTTAAAGTCCTGTTTATACCAACTTTAAAAATTTTTCAAAATCTTCTGTTGCTATGACCTAACTTTTGGATTTGGGAAATCCAAAAATCTCAGTTGCCAGGTTCTCTTGAAAAAATGTGGATGATCTCACATTACTAGGCTGACTTCCTATTAGAGCTGGAAAGCAACCATTACCTCCTGTATGCAGGTCAACACAGTAACTACTGATCTTCCATCTAGACATTTGTAAAGGGGCAGAGAGTAAGCACTTTTAGGCTTCATGGACCAGTTTGAGAGGGAGAGGGTCTATAAGAACAAATACACACATGCTAGGGTCCAAGAGAGTTCACCTAATGTTCAATCCTTTTATAGTTCCCTCCCACACTGCACCAGGGCTGGACTAGGTAACCAAAAAATGAAGCTTCTTAGATTAGGTTATTTTACAAAACACTGTAATATGGCTTCCATCTCGGCCCCTTCTTTCAGACCATTTGCTTTTGGGGAAGCCAGCAATCATGCCTTGAATAGCCCTAAAGAGAGGCCCATGTGGTAAGGTACTGAGACATTCTGCCAACAGACTCATGAGTGACCTTGGAAGCAGATACTCTACTCCTAGTAAAGTCTTTGGATGATTGTAGCTAAGACTGACAACTTCAAACTCATGAAACACCCTGAGTCAGAACCACCAGCTAAGCTGCTCCCAGGTTCCCTGTGAAATAATATTCAATAATAAATTATGGGTGTTTTAAGCTCAGTTTTGGGGTAATATATTTTACACGCACATGAAGTATAAATGAAAAGCAAAAGAAACACAGATTCTATTCTTTTTCTACTGGAAATAATAATATGATCAAATATGCTGACAAGTTATATTAGGTACTTTGGGTTTTAAGTTTCAACTACACTCTCAATTCAATATCCTACTCAATCTTAGTTATTCTGTCCTATTTTTTGGTACACTACAGAAGTTCTCCACACCTCTTCAGTCTCTTTCACTTTCAGCATGTTATCTCCTGCTGTACAGAGTAAAATAGGGGCCACTGCTACCTTCCTCAATCTGCTTATGATAATCTTAATCTCTATTCTACCTGGTATTCTCCCCTTGGATTCTGAATTCATCACCAATGCCTTCCTTTCAAATAAGTAATATTCCATTATAATTCCAAGAACTAATATTTTTCACTGTGCTTATTACTGTACACATAATTACTCACGTACCTGTATGTCTTCCTGTAAGAGCAGATGACTACCTCATTTTACTCATATATTCCTAACAGCTACTAGTTTATAGCAGGTACTCAAAATTAAGGATTTGTTAAATTATTTCAGGCTGAATTAAACTCTTTCGAAATAAAATAAGCAGCTCTAAGGAAAAGAATAAAAAGTACCAATTGCTTAATCTATCAATTAAGCTTATCACTACTATAAAAATGTCTTTTTTCCTCAGCTACAAATCTATTCCATTAAGTCATAGGGAAAAATGGCAATACATCATCCTCTAAAATGATGAACCAGAAAAATACCCAAGTGAACTATAGTTTGATTTCTGTTTTTAATTAGGCATACTAACAATATTTAAAAAAAAAAAAGATAAATTCGGAAAATATCAACCTTTCTTCTGTGCACTCTGGCTTCTCAGTTCCATCAATCTCAATTTCTATCAGTTCCTCTGCTTCTCTTTTAGTCATGGTTGTAGTATTTCAAAAGCTCAGTCCTATAAGAGTTAAATTTTAAAATCATCTGCATGAACAAAAATGATATACATGAAGTACAGACCAAAGCCAATAAAAGCAGAAAGCAAACAGAAGAGGCAGAAGTTAATTTGAGTTCCTTCAAAATCAACTGAAAGTTACATTAACTATGTTAACAGAAACTCAGGTCAAAGCCTGAATCTTACCATACAGGTGAAAAGTTGTACATTAGCGGTATTCTATAAAGTACTACATTGACAGTGATACGGACTAAAGTAAAACATAGCTAGAATTTGTGTTAAAAATTGCATATACTATAAATGTAAGTACAATATTCTAAAACAATAAAATAACAAATTATAGATATGTTCATTATTGCCTTGATTATACACTAGAATTTTCTTAATGATTTATTTCTCAGATGTGGTTTTATTTCAAACAAATTTCAGTTTTCAACTATCTCATGCAAAATTATGTTTGAAGACTTGATATAAAAGCATTGTAATTTAAGAAATGCTAAGGCTGGGAACCAGTGGGTCATGCCTATAATCTTAGCTACTTGGGAGGTTGAGATCTGGAGGATCTCGGTTTGAGGCCAGTCTTGGCAAACAGTCTGATACCCCCATCTCCATAATAACCACAGCAAAAATGAACTGGGGGTGTAGCTCAGCAGTACAGTGCTTGCTCTGCAAGTGTGAAGCCCTGAGTTCAAGTCCCAATTCTGCACACCCCACTATCAAGACATGCTAAGTAATGAATAAAATATCTACATATATTGGTATTTCTTTGTAGTTATTTTCAAGGTGTTAATGCTTTAAGTTCCAGTTTCTGCTACTAACTACCTCACCGTAGGTAATGCATTTGTCTTTGGACTTTACCTCAATCCATAGCAGTTTGAAGTAGTGTTTTCAAAGTTAACTCCCATATCTAAAAAAAGACATGTGGACTTACAAGGAATGCTCCCCTAAATGTTACTCTAACATTTGCAAAGGAGTCTGTTTCTACTTACAAGAGATTTGACAAAACAGTCAGGCACTGCTGGCTCATGTCTGTAATCCTAGCTACTCAGGAGGCAGAGATCAGAGGATCAGACTGTGAAGCCAGCCCAGGCAAATACTTAAAAAGACCCTATCTTGAAAATACCCAATGCAAAAAAGGGCTGTTGGAGTGGCTCAAGTAGTAAAGTACCTGCCTAACAAGTGTGTAAAGCCGAGTTCAAACCCCAGTGACACCAAAAGGTTTGACAAAATTGAAATATTCATTCCTATTAAAGGCAACCACTATTCACTGAATGCCACTATATTCAAATGTTTTACATAGAACAATGTTTTTGTTTTGTTTTAGATGGTCCTGGGGTTTGAAGTCAGGGCTTTGTATTTACAAGGCAGACAGACACTCTATTGTTTGAACCATACTTCCAGCCCTTTTTGCTCTGGTTATTTGGAGATGGGGGTCTTGCTTTTTGCCCAGGTTTGCCTGGACCACAATCCTCCTATTTTATGCTTCCTGCAGGGGCTGGGATGACAGGCATGTGCCACTATGCCCTGCTATTTTGCTATTTTGAGATGGGGTCTAGCAAATGTTTTGCCTGAGCTGCCCTGGAAGTGGATCCTTCCAATATTAGTGTCCTGAGCGGCTTGGGATGACAGGTACATACCACTGCACCCAGCTATTGCTGGAGATGGGGGTCAAACCTCGATCCTCCTGATCTCAGCCTCCTAAGTAGCTAGGATTATGGGTGGGCACCACTGGCACCTGCCTTTTCTTTCTTTTTCTTTTATGGAGACAAGGCTGTCCTTAATCTTGAGATCTTGTCTCTACCTCCAGAGTGCTGGTATTACAGGCATGAACCAGCACACCCAATGCAAAACAAGCTATTTTGAACCCATTCTTTTGTGACCATTATCCAGAGGTTAGTGAAATTAAACTGCCTGTGGCTCCACATTGTCATTTTATCCACATTTTTCACAAGCCACATTGTACTAGGTGTGGTGTTTGTTCAAAGACATGCTCTGTACTGAACACAGTAAGCAGAAAACTCACCACCATCTCTTAACTGAAATACTGCAACAGCATTATATAAGTGTTCTGTGTCTGTCCTGCCCGCTTACAGTCTCAGTCAATACAACAGCCAGTGTGTGCTCACTCTTAAAAGTTAGATCATAGTACTTTCTTGATGGATTACCAGTCACATTGTGAAATCCAAGGACATCACAAAGGCCAACAGGCCCTATGTGATCTTCCTCCCATCCCTGCGCATTATCATGTGGCTTCCTCTCCCATATTGGCCTTGTATCTTCCCACTCCGTGGTCTTTGCTCTCACTATTAATTCTGCCTGGAACTCTGCCCCAAATACCTTCTCAGTGACATCTATCCTGACCATCCCCACTTAATTCTGTTAGCCGTCTTCTTTTCCCACAGCACCTGCCCTTTAGCATACTGTATCATTAATTTATTATATTTGTCTTTCTTCCTCTGTGGAATCTTCACCAAATGCAAAAGACCAAAATTGTAAGAAAGTTGCCATAGGATCTTAAATTGGGTTGTCTAGAGTAGGAACTTCCCCTCCTTTCTTGAAGCAGAAGGGGGCCTTAACAGGCCTCATATTCTCAAGAGACCAAAGCCTCAATAATAGGAATAATGACCCAGAACCTGTGAATATGAAAAGTGACAAGGAATTAAGGTGGTAGATGGAATTAAAGTTGTTGATCAGCTTAACTATAAAATATAGAGATTAAGCTGGGCATGGTGGTCAAGCCTATAATCTCAGCAGTCAGGAAGTTGAGGATGGAGGGTCATGAGTTGAGGCCACCCTGGGCTAACAGTGTGACCGTTTCAAAACAAATAAACAAAAATAACAACAAAACCCCTTAGAGATTATATAGGGTTATCTAGGTGGGCTCAAAAAGAACAGTCCTTAATAATATAAGAATTAAAGAGTCAGAGACACTCTGTGAGAAGGACTCAACTGGGCAGCTATGACTAACTTCAAGGATGAAGGAATGGAGTCAAAAGCTAAGGGAAACAGGTAGCTTCTAAAAGCTAGAGAAAGGAAAGGAACAGATTTTCCCACAGAAGCTCTACAAGAAACACTGCCCTGCTAACAGGTGACTTAAGCCTTAAGACCCATTTCAGATCTCTTAACTTCCAGAACTGTAAAATAAATTGGTGGTGCCTCCCAAACTACTGAATTTGTTACAGCAGCAGTAGAAAACAAATACTCTCCCTTTCCACTTTAAAAAGGGCTGTCCCAACATCTCCAATTGCTGAATAGCTGGTTTACTAACCACTTAAAGAGGGTAGGGATATTTGTTCACCATATATACAAAGTACTTTAAACAGTGTCCGAACCTTAATAGGCACTCCAAGAATATGTTAAATAGATGAATTTTATTAGGACTTTTTTCCACACAAGATGTCTTAAAGCTTAAATGGAAGGTAAAAATTATAAAACTAATCAAAGAAAACAGAGGAGATTTTTTTTTGTGTGTGTGTGTGACCTAAGGATACAAAAAGATTTCTTAAAAGTTCCCAAAACATAAATTATAAAGAGAAAAGCTCACGGGTTTGATTATATAAAGATTAAGATTTGGGCTGGGTGTAGTGGTGCAACCTGTAATCTCAGCAACAGGGAGGTGGAGGTAGGAGGATCATGGTTCAGTACCAAGCAAAAGTCAACACAAGACCCTACCTAAAAAACAAACTAAAAAAGTAAAAGGGACTGGGAGAGTGGATCAAGAGACAGAGCACGTGCCCTTAGTTCAATCCCCAGTAGGGAAAAATAATAAACAACAAAAAAAGCTAAGATGTGTGTTCACAAGTTACAGAATGGAAAAAAGAAGTATTTCCAATACCTAAAAGTGACAAAGAACTAATAAATGGGATAGACAACCACCTCTAGTTGATTAAGAAAAAAAATGTCAGGACAAATTATAGGACAAGGAAATTCACATAAAGAGAAAACAAAAAGAGCTAAGGCATGAAGAAATGCTCAAATACAAACCATTCACAAAAGCAACTTGAAACAAGAAACTACCACTTTATACTGTATATATGCATGTATGGCAAAGGTCAGAAAGCTGGATAATGAGAAAGAGCTAGCAGGGACATAGAGACGTAAAACTCAACAGACAGGACTAGATATTCTGGAGAAAAATCTAATAGTTCTTCACAAATCAAGCATGTCTAAGACCTAGTAATCTTGAGTTTTCACTCTCAGATAAGCCTTCCAAAGAAATTCTCAGACTGACTGATAATAAGACGTTTAGGCAGCTTCACTGGTGACTGCAAGAAGCTGGAAACAATCTATTCCAAGTATTCACAGTAAGAAAGTATCCAGAAGAATAAGTAAGTATCGGGAAAAGAAAAAAAATTGTGGAAAGAAAAGTATATGAAGTAAGGAGAGGTTGAGATAGGTCCTAATGGCTTATCAGCAGGGATACTTGGAGCTCCTCTCATAGCATAAGCACTAAGACAGGAAATTGTTAAAAAGAAATTTATCCTATGATCTTCAAAAAATGTTATAGCTCATACCCTAGAAGGTGACAAATAGAAACAAAATGAACCCCATATACTTTTGAAAAAATTGTATTACAGCCACTGAATTATTTTCTTTCTCTCAGTTTTACATACTTAGCCTAGAAAAGCAATGTATAGATTTGGGAAATTGTCCAAAACACTATTATGAGTGCTTGAGAGCGTTCTTAGCTTTTTTCCTGAAACCAATTCCTCAGAGATTCTACATCAATACTTAAGAAAACAGAAAGACCAATGCCTCTCCAACTAAGAGTTGCCCCCTGTCCTAATTGCAAACAACTTCACATGGTTTTGTTGAGACCTTAATTTCCTAGATTAAATCTAACCCAGAGATCAGAAGATTTCACAAAATGGATACAAAGTAAACTTCGATTTAATTAAAAATTGTAGAAACAGCTAGTGCTCTTTGAGGCAGATACCTCTAAGATTCCTTTTGGAATCAGATAAATGTGAGGACTGTCTTTCTTCCTTGGAATGCACTATTACCTTACAGAACTTAAAGCCATTTATTCCAGTATAGGATAAACATATACAGGTTTAAATATGCATAATTAAATGCACATTTTCCTAGCCTACATGAATGTTCACTGCTTAATTTTTTTTTGGTCAATTTTCCTGTAGGTTTCAAGTTTTCTAAGAAAAGAGCACTTGGCCTGTATCTGCTTTCATGAGTTGCTTCAACTTAACATCTAACTCATTACTTATTTCATAACTATGACATATGCTCCCACAGATGCACTCCAGGTGAAATTGTTTTAAGTCCACCCAGCATCAACATATGCAAGATTGGAAAGCGAAATCGGGATCAAACCCTGAGAGAGGATATTCCCTTAAATTAGGTGCTAAAGTGGCTCAGAGTGGTGGCACACACCTGTAATCCCAGCACTTGAGAGAGTGAGACAGAGGATAGCTAGTTCCAGCTCACCTGGGCTACACAGTGAACAAACAAAAGTAGATGAAGCGTTGACAGGTTCTCGTGAGATTAAAAACGCAGCACGTTAGTGTCAAGATAACGGCCTCCTCTCACATCTTCTCCTCCTGCCAATCAGACCTACGGCTATTATTAGTTCAAACTACTTCGGAAGTGATTCAAAAAAAAATTACTACTCATCTTGCGAGGCAATACTGGGCACTGTCCTCTTAAGCTAATCAAACTAGGTTCCTTAAACGCAAAGAGGCGCACACACAAAACCTAAATAGTTTGGCAGGCCACATTACCCACTGCAGAACCCTTGGCTGGCTTGTAAAAAATTTTTTGAAGTCACCAGGTGGACATCATACAGATCAGTAAGTGACTCGGGTGCAACCCTGAGGCAGGTTTAAGACACCTAGGTGTGGAGGTCGCTGAGTGCGGCATCTTACTGACATCCTGCGGTGTCGGGGGCCCCCGGCCACGGCGAGCCCCACGGAACGCCGCAGACGGGCGGGGAGGGAGCGGCGTTCCACGGCGCTCACCGCCCGAGTCCCGGGCCGCCGCCGCCGTCCCCCGCCCCTTCCCGCACAGCCTCTCCCGCCCCTCCCCGCCCGGCTCCCTCAAGTCTCCCCGAACGGAAATGGGAGTCGCAGCGCCGGGGACCAGCGGAAACAAAACACAGAGGTGGCCGCGGGGGGGCCGCCGTGGGGGAAAGGCCCCGGAACGAGGCCGGCCGCGCGGCCCGCGCTGCGCGCCTCTCTGCCTCCGCGGGCCCACTCACCCGCTCCGGAATCCGCCCGTGGCCCGGGCCCGCGCTCCACAGCCGGCTGAGAACGGCGGCGGCGCGGGCTCCACGTGCAGCGTCTCCCGGGTAAGACCTGCAGCTCCCGCGACTCCAAGCGTGAGGCCCCCGGGCCCTTCCCGCGGAATAGGCACTGAGAAACCCCAGGCCCTCTCCCGCCTCCCAGGCACCCCCGGGCCCGGGACTACAACTCCCAGAAGGGTGCGCGAAACGAACGCCCGAGACAACGGAGAATCGCGAGGCACAACGCCCCAGTCCTCTTCGTTTTACAGTCTCACTTTCACTGCACAATATACACCTCAACAACCCCAAGGAACAGGATGCTGACTCGCAGGGGAGCTTGAACTTGGGTAGAGGACAGGCGCGCATGCGTACAAAGCAATGTCTCCAAGGTGGGGGGGAAAAGTCGGGTCAAAATAGGCAAAGAAAAGATGGCGGAGTCTTCGCCAGGGGACCCGGAAGCAATTACCCTCCACTTCCTCCTCTTATTTGGCGTCTGTCTCACCTAGAGCCGTCCGGTCGCAGACTGTCTCTGAGGCGCTTCCTGTCCGGTGAGCTTCGAACGACTGAAATGGCGACCCATAATGCATTGCGATGGCGGGTAGGCGTGTGGGGGCGGAGCCAGGACCGGAAGTAGACCGGAGGTGGTGGCGGTGTTTCTGGCAGCTCGGGACTGAGTGCAAGGTGACTGGGAGGGTAGCTAAAGCAGCTTGGCCTCTTGGGACTGCGTTTCTGGGTTTCTTCACGAGACTTGGGCTGCCTTTCACCTCTGCCCTACTAGGAGGAGAGAGCAGCCCCATATCCTTGGCACCTTCCCTGTCTGGAGCGGGGTCACCGCTGACCTCGGCGCTTCTCGGCCTTGAAGTTGGCCTTAGACCAGTAATGCCCTCTTTTAGGGCAAACCGGGGAGGTGCGGGAGTCAAGGGTGCGGGGCACGGATCTGCAACCAGGCCCGGGCAGCGCAAGGTCATGTGTAGGGTCCGGTCTGCGGCCAGCCCGTAGCACGCGGGAGAGTCCCTTGAGCTGTGCACCCTAAGACGGAAAGGCAGTAGCATTCCTAAAAGTTTGCATCCCACCTAACTGTGGGTGCTCAAACTGCGTTAGGCCCTTTGCGGATTGACTTTAGGAATCTGTACAGAAGAGGCAGCAAACGGATTGACATTTGATCAGTCGTCTCTATAAATAGAACAGTGCACCTTCCAGAGCAAGGCTTCTTCCCGGGCTCTACCCTTTTCTTGTTAATGCCTTCTCCAGTTTTTTTTTTTTTTTTTTTTTTTTTTTTTTTAATGTCAAATCCCTAGCTTTGGCTCTTATAGCACTTGATAGTACTTGAATAGAGAAGTTATCACGGATGGTATAAAGAGACGTGTGTCTTCTGCGTGAGAAGCAACAGTTTTGATAGGTTTAATGTTCGTCTTCTAGACGAGTTATTAGGGACACATTTAATACATGTTTAACGTGTACATTTATACATATATAATGTATGGGGTCTAAGAAAAGGGTCAAATTAGGCATGACTTGGAAATCATTGGTACTCGGTAGATAATTGAAATAATGAAAATGGCTTTAGAATATGGACAACTTACTAACCGTTCTTAGACATAATTTTATCACCTATAAAGCAGGGATGAGACTATCTTCCTCCAACTCTAAGGGTACTGGAAGTACTTTGCAAAATAGGTTCCACCAAAGGTTTGGTGTCAAGCATGTGTCTAGGTTGCCCAAAGGGAAAACAGACATTGAGTTGGACAATATTTTTTAAATATCTGTGTTGAGTGGGATTCTCCTTTGTGTAATTTTGGAGGAGGTATTTAACCTCTAAGCCTCAATTTCTGTATTTGTAAAAATAGGAATGATAATAAGTAGCTCTTAATAAGGTCATTTGTTCTTTGCTTATAGTCTTTTTTTTTTTTTCAGTGCTGGTTTTTGAACTTAGAGCCTACACCTTGAGCCACTCCATCAGCCCTTTTTTGTGATGGGTTTTTCCCAGATAGGGTCTCTTGAACTATTTGCCCAAGATGGCCTCAAACCTCAGTCCTCTTGATCTCTGCTCCCTGGGTAGCGAGGATTACAGGAGTGAGCCACTGGTGCCTGGCGCTTACAGTATTTTCTCAAGAATTTTTGTCTGGTGGGATATAAAAGTGATATATCAATCAATTCTTTAATTTCTTCAAAGTATTTGCATTCATTCTGGTTAGTGAAGGATATCTTCTTGATTGTGCAGTTTCTTTTTGGTTTGCTGAAGTTGGTACTATTGAGGTGGAGATTGGGTGAGGGGGAGTTGTTACTATTTTTATTATTATAGGAGGTTTAGCAGCATCCCTCTACCTCCTAGAGGCCAGTAATATTCAACCTATTCAGGACCAAAAATGTCTTCAGATGTTGACACGTGTCCTAGGAGATTAAAATCTCCCCTTTCCAACCCCCTCATACCTATTTGGTAACAGTCTACTACCTTCTAGTTAATGCTTCTCAAGCTCTTAATGGTAAAAGGCCATTATCCCCACCCCTTGTAGATACTTCTAAATCAAAATTCTTTGGATTCCTGTGAAAATATAACAATAAAGTCTATTATCAGAATGATGATGATGATGATGATTAGGTAATCTGGAGGAGGGGATGAGGATCATATTAGCATATAAAGTTTTAAGGTTCGGAAATATTCCCAAGATTTACATTGCCATTCAGTTTAGGTTTGGTAAGACCTTTCAGTTTATAAAGTCTTAACCTGTGGGAACTGTTCTTCCAATTACTTATTGTCTCCTTATCAATTCCTTTCCTTCTGGAATTCCTTGATGCATATATTTGTTGTAATTTGTAATATTTTTGGTATTTGACCTTATCATTAAATCACCTCTGAACAGGTGTTATCCTCCTTTAATTTATCTGCTGAAATTTTTCAGGTAGAAACTTAATGTATTTTAGTTTCAGGAAATCTAAGGACTTTTTTTTTTTGAAAGATGCTAAGGTTTGAACTCAAGGCCTACACCTTGAGCCACTCCACTTTCGTAATGATTTTTTTTGAGATAAAAGAGTCTTAGGAACTGTTTGCCCAGGTTGGCTTCAAACTGGGATCCTATTGATCTCTGCCTCTTGAGTAGGTAGAATTACAGGAGTGAGCCACTGACAAGTCTTTACTTTTTAAAATGTGGACTTTCATCTCCTTCACAAATTCTGTTATACTAATTAGGTTGTATTGTCTAATATTCCTGTCTGTTATTGTAGGTCTCACTTGGCCTGGTTGGGTTTTTTTTTTGTTTGTTTTTTTGGGTGTTCCGGAGTGGCTGGAATCCTGTAGTTTTAACAGGCAAAGCAGTTTCTCTCTCATGTTCCTCTGAAGTGGAAATTTCCAGGCTTCATTCCAGGCTGAGGCAACTGTCTCCATTCTCTTTGCCCAGTTCCCTTTTGACTTCTTCTGGGGTCTGGGTCTGGAAAACCTGGCACATTCATTTATGAGCAAGTTGTCTTTTCTTGCTGGGAGTGGGCAGTGTTTTAACAGCCCACTTCTATTTCTTCAGATCTAAGACTTAGGTTCATGAGAGGAGAAAAAAAAATCCCAAATTTTGTGCTTTCTTTCAGCTCTAAACTGTAGTGAAGCATTGGGCTTCAGTCATGCCTAATTGTCCCTATGTGCAGAGCGTTTTGGTAAGAAGTAAAAACCTTGTCGTGGGGAATGAAGGGACAAGTGAACTATGATCACATATAGACTGATTTCTGGAATGATTTAGTTCTGTAGCAAAAGAATTAGGTTCATACCACATGATATATTTAGACATATTTTATAGAAAGTACATTTTAACTTTCCAATGCTTATTTTTGGTACCATAGAATCACCATGATTCTTCAAAAGCTCTTCAGGTTCTCCTCTGTCATTCGGTCGGCTGTCTCTGTCCATTTGCGGAGGAACATTGGTGTTACAGCAGTTGCATTTAATAAGGAACTTGATCCTGTACAGAAGCTCTTCGTGGACAAGATTAGAGAGTACAAATTAAAGCGACAGTAAGTAGATAGACAGTCAGCCACAGTGTAAATATAATATTCATAGTATGTAAGTTTCAAGATATAAGTCACAAACTTTATCTTCTTTGAGAGTTTTGAGGGGGAATTCCATTAAATCTATTGTCATTTAAAGTATGTCCTTTCTATAATGTCTTTTTTAAAAAATTTTTTTGGCAGTACTGGCCTTGAACTCAGGGCCTCATGCTTGCTAAGCAGGCACTCTGCCACTTGAGCCTCTCCTTCAGCCTTTTTTGTGATTGATTTTTTTCAAGATAGGGTCTTCTGAACTATTTGCCTGGGACTGGCTTTGAACTTTGATCCTCCTGATGTCAGCCTCCTGAATAGCTAGGATTGTAAGTATGAGCCACCATGCCTGGCCTATAATGTCATAATTATGTACACATTACTGAAATGCTAGAATTTTAGAATCACTTAGCAGCTGTATTTGAGAAAAGTAAGTCCTTGAAACATTGGTTAGCCTAAGATGATAAATTGGGAGAAAACTAATAGCTGGGAGAAAATACATAGTTGAAATATTCTAACTCTCATTTTGTTCCCTTATTGTGGCATGATTTGGGGGACATACATAAATACAGCATTTTTTCCTTTAAGGATATTTTCTAGGTATATATCTCTGGGACTGTCAAAGGATAAAAGACTGAAATGGCATAAAATAAGGCCAGGCATTAAATAATTACACACAGCTTTAGAGATGAATGACCACCTTATTCATCATCAAGTCCAACCCCATATCTTAGGAAAAGTGGTATCCCTCAGTTTATATAGTTCCATGTCCTTTTATTTAATTGTCTATTGTGTACAAATACTAGACTATTGACCATAATGGGTCACACTACATTTTTTTAAAAATGCAAATGCTTAAAATCTGGTACGTTTAGAAACCTTATAAACAAATACTATATAAGGTAGATAGGTACTAAGTGACAGTGAAGAATTCATAGGAAGAACTGCTTTCTGGGTGGAAACATTTTGGAAGGCTTCTTGGAAGAGTTAATGTTTCATTGTGGTTTTGAATGCAGTCTTTGGGGCCATTGATCCCTTTTGAGATTCTCATGGACAGCTATGGATCATCTCATTATAAAAACAAAGGAGTAAAGAATTTGCTCATAAGAATTTGTTATAGTTTGAAAGGATTCTCAAAGCACTGGAAGACACCTGTACCCAGGGGTCTACCCTAGTTTAAGAACAGTTAGTATGAAGATTGAACAGCTAAAAGGGGTAGGGGAGGGTATCTTTAAAATGGAAAATTTGTGTGAGATAAGGCATGAAAAACTAGAAAGCACAAAATATATTTTGGGAATTGAGTACTCCTATTTCCCTGGAGTATAAGGCATATAAGGAGTGTAGTGAACAGTTTGGATGGATTAGGTCTTGATGTAAGATTAGGCAGGTAACATTTTCATATTTGTAAGAAATTGAAGGTTTTTAAGCCAGTTTGGGGGGGATAACAAGATTACTCTGAATTAGATAATTTTAATCATTATTTTGTAGGATTGGCATGAGAAGAGAGCAAAGAAACATCAGGAGAATGTAATTATCAAGGCATTAGCTACTTTATGGCATGAGAATATATGGTGGTAGTCAAGATATTGAGCCTTGCAGAGTGGCTCAGGTGGTAGAGTGGCTCCTTAGCAAGTGTAAGGTTCAGATTTCAAATCCCAGTAACACACACACACACACAAGTCAATGAAACACTGAGAGAACTGGTATCAGTGTCCTGGTAAAGAGGCAGTGGAGAGGGAGCAGTTTGGAGGAGAAAAAAACAAAACTGTGGTGGGTCATGCCTGTAATCACATCTGTCAAGGAGGTGTAAGTAGGAGGATTGTGGTTCAAGGCTGACCTTGCCAAAAAAGCATGAGACTTCATCTGAAAAAAATAACTGAAGTCAAAAGGGCTAGGGTTGTGGTACAAGTGGTAGAACAAACACAAGGCACTGAATTCAAATCCCAGTACTACCAAAAACAAATGAAAGAACACACTTGAGACTGGGTGACTAACACAGATGGGTTGCTTTTATTAAAATTGAGGAGGAAAGGTAGTGAGAGATTAAAATGTAATAAGGTGCTCTGTGCTTTATAGACATTGTTACAAAACAGTCACAACAACCCTGTAAATACTTTTCAATTTTATAAATGAGAAAACCAAGGCTAAGAGGTTAGAAATTAACAACAACAACAAAAAAACAGACAGAGAAAAGAGAGAAAACATACTATTCAGTAAGCATTCATATAGGACTTTTGGGGAAATATGTGATCTATACCACAGGTGTTGTGGCAGCTCAATATTGTGGTTGCACTTTGTTTTTAAGCCCATTCAATAGGAAGTTGGCTTTTAGATGGACCCTGAATCTAAGGAGTCTCTTCTTTGTGAGCCATTCATCTGTGCAAACAACAGCATTGAGAGGTATTTTGAGCATGGGTCCTGGGTCAGAATATAGCTCTGTCACCTTTGTACCAGTTTTCTCATTTGTAAAATGGGGATGATAATAACAGTACTTATTCCTAGGACGTTAAAAGATTAACACTAAAAATGGTTTCACAAATTAGCATGTCTAGTATCCACTAGCAGAAATAAACAAATACCTCCTGAAAGTCTACTTTGTCCAATCACCTTGCAGGAGTCTTGGGAAACAGTAAGAAGCAAGGTGGGCACCACGTCTTATATTCAGTTGAGAAGGTAGCTTATTTCTGACCCCCTTTTGTCATAAAAGTGTGTGTTAATGTTAGAATGGCCATTATATATCACTAACCATTTAGGACGGAAAAATGGTGTAATACTAATTGGATCTTCTGAATGCAGTTGCTAAAGTTGTGTGGGTCCCAGAGCTGAAATACATAAAATCATTAGAGTATATGGTTGAAGGATCTATTTAGTATTGTGCTGTCCATTTTGGTAGCCGTTATCCACATGAAACTACTCAAATTCTAGTTAATTATAGTTCATTTCCTCAGTCACTTTAGTCATGTAGCTCAGGCTGGCTCGGAAATTGCTATATAGTCCTAGCTGACCTCCAAATCAAGATTTCCTGCCTTGGCCTCCCAGAGGATTACAGACATATACCCAGCTGGAAATTCTTTGACATAATTTTCCCAGTGCTTTGATAACAAGCATGGGTAAAAATATTACTACCCTTGGAGGAATTTTCACTTAAAATTTGTTTCATTTTGTTTCAGGTTTTGAGACAGTCTCACTATATAGCCTAGGCTGGATTCAGCCTCTCAGGTACTGGGATTATAGGCATGAACCACCATGCCTGAATCCAATTTTTTTTTTTTAATTCATAATATTGCTCATTGATTGGCAGTAATGTTTATTACAAACAGATTTTGTTTCCAGAATTAATCAAGACATATTTGGCCCTACTGCTGGTCCAGAGTGCAAATTTATCTTCCCAAAACATAACTCTAATTTTGTCATTTTATTGTTTAGCAAATAAAATACACACTCTTAGCCTTCACATTTCTGGCCTCCTGTGGGTTCTGCTCATTTTTCACCTAAACTGCTTATTTTCCACAAACAGCTAGGGGTTTACCCACTTCCATTGAATCCTTGCCCTTGAGCTATGCTGTGTTTGCTTTTTTAGTCTTGAAGGGTCTCAAATTAAAATCTGGCCCAATATGCATGATTTATCTGAAATGTCACCTTTTTAAAATGAAATTTTCCCTGATAATTTCAGCATAAATGATCTTTCCTTAAATTGATAGGTTTTTGTTAAGCCTTATCTTTGTATGTGTATGTTGTGCTGGGGATCAAACCTAGGGCCTAGTGTACGCTAGACAAGCATTCTACTACTGAGCTACATCTCCAGCCTTAACCCCTGTATTTAAAACTTATTTAATTTCTTTATAGCATAAGTATTTGTAAATGTATCATTTTTTAAGAAACTGAAAAATTGCTGAGGGTTAGAAATAATTTACTTCTTTGACAGACCTCTATTATAGAGACTTACAGTTACCAAGACCTTTTATTTAATTTTTTTTTTTTTTTTTTCATTTTTTGGTGCTAGGGCTAGATCCCAGGGCCTCACACATGCTGGTAAACGTGTGCTCTTCCACGGAGCTATAACCCCACCCAAAGATCTTTCAAATGCTATTAGGAATGGCTGATTTAGAGATGGTGATAACAATAGATAACACTTACTGAGTCCTCACTGTTTACATGGTCTCTTTAATTCTCCTAACACACCTCCTTGGTAGGACCTTTATTTTTAGATGTAGAAACTAAAGATTAGAATGCTCAGTGCTTTGCTGTGGGTTAATGCATTTACTAAATGGTAGAGCTGACATTCAAATAGATCCAGTCTTTGGCTTCAGAGTCCAAGGACATCATAATGCAGCTTAGACCCTGAGAGTTTCTGACTTAATATCCTTCAGACTAGCAAACCTTAAGTTTTAGAATTTTGTTTGAAGGTATTTCATTTATGTGAAACCACATACTAAAATAGTTTGAAATTCAAGTGGAAATACTTGTTTTCTTTCTAAAAAGTCTACTTTTCCCTACATGAGTACCTTTAAAGGCCTACTGAAACTTAATGGTAAAGAGTGATTTTATTTTTTTAAACAAGTGTATGCAATTAGTTTTTATTCACTCATTTACATAATAGGACATCTGGAGGACCTGTTGATACTGGCCCAGAATATCAGCAAGAGCTGGAGAGAGAGCTTTTTAAACTTAAACAAATGTATGGTAAAGGAGACATGACTACGTTCCCTAACTTCAAATTTGAAGGTAAATCTTTTTAATCACAGATTCATTCTTGTAAGGGATTATTTTAGAGTGAGAGTATTAATCCTTTTTTTTTTTTTTTTTTTGATAGTGCTGGGGATCAAACCCTAGGCTTGGCAAACACTCTAACACTGAGCTACATCTTCAGTACTTTTTTTTGATTGTTTACAGGATTAAATGACAATTACACGTGACTTTATTAGGACCATGATGTGTGTATGGGAAAATCTCAAATGTTTGCTGTTCATATAGGAGCTGACATAACATACACATTAAGTGCTGGGGATCTGAATTCAAACTGCTTAATTTTGAATCCTGACAATCTCACTTACTAGTTGTGTGGACAATTCATTGGTACCTGTTTCCTCATCTGACATCTGGGGATAATTGTATCTTCCTTATATGAGAAGTAGTTATAGTTAAATGATGTTTATATAACATCAGTAGAGAGCCTCGCTCATAGAAATGGCTGAATAAATGTGTAGCAATTGTGTTTTTTGTGTAGATGTTTAAAAACAGATGTTCACTAAAAAAAAAAAAAAAACACACACCAGAAGATTGATAAGTTAAATCTTTAAGCTTTCTAACTAATCCATTTATTGCAGTGTGGCTAAGCTTAAATCTTTTTTTTCTCTCTTAGATCCCCAATTTGAAGTCATTGAAAAATCCCAGTCCTGAAGAAATAGTGTAAAGTTAATCTGGCGATTTGTCAGAAATTAATTTGTTAATCTGAGTAGTTGTACAACTAACTAGAAATATGATAATAAACATTTCACAGCTATCAAATGTTCTATAAAATTATTTGGTAATGCTGACTATATGCTTGAATGCATTAAATTCTGTGTTTTAAAATCCTTTTATTTGGTTATAATGAAGCAGATGGAGATGTTGGATAAAATTGGGTACAACTTGCTGGATCCTTTTAGTAATGGAGATTTACTGTCTTCTGTGAGCTACTGTTATAAACATTAAGGGAATGTTTACTCACAAGGGATGTTTTACCCTCCCCCAGAATATGAAGAAATAGTTTATAAGACTTTTGTCATAGCTTTCTCAGGAAACTTGAGTATAATTTTAATAAGTACAGAAATACCTATTGTGTTTTATCTTCTGTCAACTCAAAACCCAGGTTCCTCATTTTTACTTGCAGGTTACAGTATTATAGTTCTGTACAGATTGAGGAGGGTAAAGGTAGGGACATAAAGGGAAGAGAGTTCTGTGGATGATTTCACTTTTTTTTTTTTTCATTTTTCCTCCATTATCCATATGTGCATACAAGGCCTGGCTCACCTCTCCTCCCTGCCCCCACCCCCTCCCCTGATTTCACTTTAAAAGATTTGACTAGCCAGGCCTGGTAATCCCAGTACTCTGCAGGCTGAGGCAGGAGAGTTTGAGAGGAGCCGGGGCTTAATGGTATGCTTTCATCCAATCAATGAAAGATCCAACATGTATTTCCTCGGTAGGTGCCATATCAGAAACTAGATGGCTCTCAAAGAAATTATTTTTTAAAAGATTTTTTTAAAGGAAAAACAGCCATGCCATTTTTTATCTGCCAATGTATCTGACATATTAGTGGATATGGCTTTTAGCAAGCCTTTAGTTGCCTTGGGGGCAGGTTGGAGAATAATACTGTTCATAACTTTGACATGCTCACACATTTGAACAATTTATTCTTTCTGCCTATCTTCTCTTTCTGTCTCTGCCTCTTCCTCATTGCTTCATCCCTAATGCATCTATATACATCTCAGTTTACATAGACTTGTGTGGTGGGATAAAGGGTAAAAAGAGTGGTGGACTAGAGTAATCTCAGGGTAGCATCATCTTGAGCACCAAACAAGTAAGTATTCATACCCAGTATATTTGTAGAAAGTGGGATACTTGTCTTTAGCCTCTAGGCAACAGAAGTCTCAATAATGTGGTTACATAAATCTATGTAAGTTTTTGTTCTCTGCTATATGTAATCCTAAAATTTAGAAAAATAAGTTTCTTAAAATAGGATTGCTGGCTCATGCCTGCAATCCCAGCACTTAGGAGACTTAAGGCAGGAGAATCATGAGTTTGAGGCTTGCCTGAGCTACATAGCGAGGTTGTAAATTTCTTAACCTGTAATAACTTTGTTATAATTCAATGGTAGTTAAACATTTTGGGGAAGGAAAGTAAGTTTAAAAGTGAAAAATTAAGCAGGGGTAACTTTAAGAATCCAACTACAGATCACAGAAACCTGCTCAATGTTTACACCATCTTTTAAAAGCGTTATAAATGGCATATTAAAAGTAGAAAATAGGTAATAGACTTTTTAAAGAATCTACCTTCAATCTTAAAAAAAGTTAAATAAGTGCTTTGTTGACATACACTTACTAAGAGCATTTTCTTTGTAGAAAGTATGAAAACAATATAGAATGTCAATTTGTACATTTCTTCCAGTTTGGTCAAAGTAAAAATATGGCATATATTAAAAAGTACCAAATATTTCCAGTGACTGAATGGGAGAATATATCAAAAACAAATAAATGAAAACTTACAATTTACGTTAGATGTCCTTACCAGTTACTTCTATTAAAAGTGCTAAGCTGGGTGCCAGTGCCTCATGCTTGCAATCCTAGCTCTTTGGGAGGCTGAAATCAGGAGGATTTGGGATCAAGGCCAGTCTGGACAAATAGTTTTTGAGACCCCATCTCCAAAATAATAGCAAAATGGACTGGAGTGGTAGAGCACCTGCTTTGCAAGCATAAAGCCCTGAGTTATAATCCCAGTCCCACCAAAAAAGAAAAAAAATGTTCTGAAACTTAGAGAAAAAGCAAAAGATGGAAGATTATATTTTTAAATTTGAAATGAGAAAAATATTTAAGAGCCTTTTTAAGAACTGAAATTGAGCCCCTAATTACAAAAAAAATAAGGGGAAATTAATTTCTGTCCAGTCTTAATTTATGGAGCAATAATTTATGTCAGCATGATATAAATGAACTGGATTGTCAAATACAGTATTTTAGTAAATTTAAAGGGACATTCAGTATTCTTTTAAGAATTGATTTAGCATTTATTAGCTGCATGTTAGATGCTAAATACCTTGGGACTTAAAAAGATGTATAAAACATGGTTCTTATAGTGCTTCCAGATAGGTAGGAATGTCAGATGTGTACATGCTGAGCTTTGCTAGGATGGAAACCAGGAAATATCACAAGAGGATCAAATGCTGTGGGGATTTAAAGAAGAAACTTCTTCCAGCTGGGCAATAAAGGGACACTATTGAAGAGGTGTAGAATTTGACCTGTTTCTTATATAGAGTAGATGGAATTTACATAGTTTGTGATTAGGAGAATTAGCATTCCAGGTGGAATAAATGTTACAAGTAAACGTATAGAGGCTGGGGAAATGGATTGCTAAAATAAAATGACCATAGTTCAGTTTGATGTGTGCTTAAGGCTACCAGAGAGTATAATGAAATGTGACTGAAAAGGTGTTTGTGACAATATGAAGGCATATGTACATGAGATGGGACAGGGAGAGCCTTTAATTCTAGGTCAAGGAATTTGGGAAATGTACTTCTCCCTCCCACCCTTTTATTATATTATTGTTGGGGGTACATTGTGACATTTATAGAAGTTCTGTAAGTCATAGTTGAATTCACCCCCTCAATCTTTCTCCTTTCTCCCTCTTCCCTGCATTCCTGAAATAGTTTCAACAGGTCTCATTTTTCTATTTACATACAGGAGTACATAATATTTCTACCATATTCACCCCCTACACCCTTTCCTTATATACTCCCCCTTCCCACTGGTATTAACCTTCCCAGATGGGATCTGTTGGGTTTGAGCTTGAGGCTTCATGCTAGGTCAAGGAATTTTGACCAAAATAAAGGGGAAGGAAAAAGAGAAGGGAGTGAACATTGTTTAAGACGGTAATCAGGCAAACTGACATAGTGTGAGGAGAAAGAAACCAAAAGGAGCCTTTAGAACTGGAGAGATTAAAATGTGACAAAAAGAGAGGTCTTGAGAGAGAACGGTCCCAGAAAAAAACATGACAGAGTAACAAAAGACTATAAAGTGTTCAATTGTTTCTCCTTTGCAGGGGGGGGCGGGGGGCGGGAGAAGATGGCATACACCTATCATCCCAGCACTTGGGAAGTAGAGGCAAAAGGATTGTAAGTTCCAGGCTAGGCTGGGTTACCTAGCAACACCGTGTCTCCAAAAAATGTTTTTTAAATTTTTATTTTCAGAACTTTTTTAGTTTGGTCAGCATTTGAGAAGTTGGCAAGCATCCAAACAGAGAGATGATGACTTTCTAATTTTAAGCAGCTAAAGAGTAGGCTTGTAGCTGCAGATGTTAAGAGGGTGTAGTTTCCTGGGTTTTCAGAACAATAGGTGAGTGACTATTCCCCTGCACGTTAAATGGGGACTAAAAAGTTTAAGAGGTCTGCAGTTTTTATTAATGTAGACTTTAATCAAACAAAGCCAGCTGTAGGATGAGGGAAGTTCTTTGCAAAGGTGTACTGAGAAACGATCTTTTTTTTTTAGTTTGGGGATTTAGTTAGGTTAAATCCCCAAACTAAAAAGAAATTGAGCCGAGTTACAACAGCAACAAAATTAAAATAAAAATTGTTATTCAAAACTGGTCATAGTGGCATATGCCTGTAATCCCAGCATTTGGGAGGCTGAGGGGGGAAGAGTCAAGAGTTCATAGCCAGCCTGAACTACACAGTGAGACCCTATCTCAAAAAAAAAAAAAAAAAAAGTTAAGGATTCCAGAACCCTAATCTTAAACACACAATTTCACTCCAGGAAGATAAAATGCTCTAAGAACTAGCTTGGGATTTAAAACAATTGTTAGCCTCAAAAAAAACAAAAACAAATATGGAGACACAAATCTGGACACCAGTAACCCAGAGAGAGATACATTTTTAATAATCAGAAAATTAGTGCTTGTAACATGTTCTTTGTGCAGAAGAAAGCATTCTTTACACAATGATTTTTACTTAGCGGTATACAATATTTTAAGATAATGTATAATATATATTTGGCACAAATACAGTGTTAGATGTTTGCACTGTATGAAACAAATCCTCTAGTCTTCAATGTCTTAAAAAGAAGCTTTTCATCTATTAGTGAAGTTAAGGCACTATGTAATTTTCCTCTTATGGTATGGCACTTGGCAATGCAAGGAGAAAGCATTCCTTAAAACAAGTTTTCCAGTCAAGGCATAGGCAACATGTAGCCCGATTTCTTACAAGTCTATGGGTAGGTGCTTTTTCATCATTCACCACTAAGGTTTGGAAGCTATGCCTGAGGGCCAAATCCTATCTGTGCCTGAGTTTTTCTAAATAAAGTTTTATTGGCACACAGACACACTCATTAACTTATTTTCTATGACTGCTTTTGTGGGACAATGGCTATGACTTTTGTGACAAAGCCATATTACAGAAGCCAGACCTCCAGGAAGGAATCTAGTGAGAAGCATAGAATGCCACGGACAAGTCAAAAATCAGACAACAGCCTTCTTCCCAGTCACTTGGGGTCCAAGCACAAATTTGTCCTCAATGAGTGCTTATTCCATTTGTTCAGTGAATCCCGGGGATTTGCCTTGCCTAACTGGGTAGAAGGATCAGATTTCTTTAAGTTCTTAAAAGTAGTGCCTAATCTTTTCATCCATATTTGCCCAGAAGAATGAGACCTGCCCTAGCCACATTTTATCTTTAATATCGATTGAATAATAAAAATCAGTTCTAAAAGACAATGTTTTTTAACACAGCCTAATTGCTTTTACTGATAAGTGATTCATTAAAAATTTCATTTAACACTAGCTGGACGCCTTTGTGGTTAATTCGAGAACAGATGATTGGACCCATTTTTCATTTCAGACAGTTTCTCGTGTGCCTTCTCTTATCAAGCAGGGAACAGATGCAGGGAGTCACAGTGAGCTCCTTCATTCATATTTTGTTTTTCAGACAACCACTTCTCCCCTCCATATCCGTACTTTGTCATAAGCAGGATTGGCAAACCCCTGGCTAAAACAGTAAGGAAATCACCCATCTGAGAATTTCATTGCACAGTTCTTAAGAGACAAAGGAGCAATCACCACTCGTGTCCAGAAAGTATCTGCCATGTTGTGTAAGCTCCAGCAGCAAGTTCTGATGTCAAGGGGACTGAGCCTCTTCAAACGAGTCTTAGGAATGGAAATAGCAGCAAGCAATTGTGGGGATGAAAGAAGCCACTCAGGTTTGTGTTTGGCCCTCACGATTATGTTATCAGTGTCACACACCAGGTGAGACCTACAGCGCATACCTGTGAGCTCTGGTCACTAGCTTTTTATTCTCATGTTGCTTTTGATTTTCAGAAATGAAGGTAAACACAACCATCCCTGCTGCCTCCCTTCTATGGATATGTATATGTTATGATAAATGAGCAGTGGAATAAGGATTGTATTTGGGGAGAAAAGAGGATTCTGGTAGAAATGAGACTAGAGGTTCCTTTTGTATCTGTTAAAGAGTATTTTCTGAATTCCCCCAAATTGACTCTTGCTGAGAGGGCATGTGCAGTTCCTATGTGCATGCTCTGTGAGATAATGTCACAATCAGGATAACTTATTACTGTAACTTTCTCTAGAAGTTAGGAAATTTGTTAGCATGTCACAAAAGCTGGAATATAACAAAGTGTTTTGATTCTCTTTAGTTCAAACACAGGAAGTCAGATTGTATTTTAGGTGATGACAGAACTTTTTGCTTAAATTAACAATTTCAGTTGAGTTAGAGGTCATATAAATTAAAATGAAGTACCAATTTCATTTCCTAATGCACCTCCTCTTTGCAAATGTAAGACAAAGCAGAGTTTTATAATACTTTAATAACTTGTAAAAGAACTGTGGTTTTGGTGTATCTCAAAAGTGGAGTTGTTTTAAATGATAAAGGATTTTGTATGCTTGAAATCCTAGGAAAAGAAAGAAAAAAGATTAAATACAATGCGAATTTATACTTAAAAAACAAAAATCTTGTTAATATCAAACTATATCCATTATATGAATTTCAGAGGTACAAATCAGCATATAGCTAACTAATTCTAATCTTATGAAGAATAAAACAAATCCTAGAAGATAAGATCCTTGAAAATTTGATGAGCGATAAAGAAGTAGGGCTAGAAGTTCAAGCCTGAGAAATCTTGTTTGTTAGGAGTATGCCGCTGGAGTCTCGAGCTTAGGGCTGTGCCACAATCACACAGCACACAGAGCAGCCTGTTCCCCAACAAAGAATAATCTGACTCAAAGTTGTCAGGCTGGAAAACCCTGATGTAGGCAAAGTAGAATTGAATAGCTCTGAGCTATTCAGAGGGAAAGATAAAATGAAAAATTGAGGCACAGAGTGACTTTGTTTGGTGGGGTAAAATTATTTTATTTTATACTCAAGGAGTTCTTTCCATGAATTGTAGGAATAAATGTGAAATTACACATTGTTTATCTCCTAATTAAGGAATGGTACACTCTCAGTATAGTAAACTACAAAATACAGTGACTTCTATAATGAACAGATTCTAGAGTTAAGTTTGAAAACTCAAATTAAAAAAAAACTTTTTGTAGTAATAAATGGGTGTTAATACTTCTGTCCATTAGAATCACTTAAGTGTTTAAAATATTAATGTCCACATCCCACCCCAAGCTCTACTGAAAGGAAATTTGAGTCTTTGGCCTAGACTGCTAAGGAGTTCTGGGAACCCATGCTCTCAGGAAAGATAAACCGGGGACAGTCCTTCTCCTCACTGTATCACTAGGAAAAAAAAAATCCAGAAGGTTGAATATCTACCCAAAGAACTATAAAATGTAAGCAGTGATGGTATTGAGTACTTCACTGTAGTATTTAAAAATAAAAAAGTACATAAATGTTCTAATGTCTATGTTCTCTGTATCATCTAACTAATTATTGCCTTTCAAGGATTTCTGAACCATACCTTTGAGAAATAGCAGAGGATATTTCATATCCCTGACTTTTTCAAGTTCATTGAATAACCAAAAGCCATTCCTAGAACCAAAAACCTGCAGGAAACAGTCTGCTTGGTCAAGCTGCCAGGAATCAAGGTTCTTGGGTTCCAGCTCCACCCTTGTTATCCTGTGAGAACATGTATATGTTTCCTCATCTATCAAACAGCTGAAAATGCCAGATCTAGTAATATTAAGAAGGCAAATAACAGAATACCCCATGAGAAAAAATGAAATGATAAAGATAGTTTCCTATAATTGCTCTACAAATGTCAAGCACTTTTATCATGCCATCCCAGGTAGGGGAAAGAAATCAACGTTTATTTAGATCCTTCTAAATGCCAGCTGACTATTAAAATGTGTATTAAAAGTAAAGGCACAACATGAATAAATTAATAAAGGGAAAAAAAGAGTAAAGGCACAACATCCAATTGCTTTTTTTCTCTGCCCATTCCCTAAACACATCTGTTCTATAAATATGCTTTTAAAATACTCACATTTTCACTCATTGTAGTAGCTTTAGATGCAGCTCCACTCTTCCTGTTTGTGGAATACAAAAGACAGTATTTACTACATTATTACCTCCAATTCCAAGGCATACCCTCATTCAGCAGGAAGATAAATATTTATCCTAGGCAGGCAGAAAAAAAAGCCAGTAATCCTAGCTGAATTTCTTATATTTATAAACAGCATTCACAGAGAAAGCTATGCAACAAAGTATCTGTCCATGTGAAATTCTGTGCACCTAAATGTAGCCTAAGCCTAATATACTACAAATTTTTGTGGAAGACACAAAACAGAGATTTACTAATTTATACTGACATTAAATATTTTAAAATTTTGATTATTATTATTATTATCTCAAAATTCATTTTGGTCCATGGGAAGTTCCATTTTGTCACTAGGGTTCCAGAAGAAGTTTGACAAAATTTAAAGGCTGTAGATTGAATGAATGGGAGGAAAAATGTCAAGAAGTAAAGACATTCCTTCCAGATGACTACTACCTGCTTTTACAGAGACATTAATGGAAGAAGCATGAACCTCCTTCACTGCTTATGTAAGATGATGTCTCTCCTTTGCTCAAAACCCTCAGTTTTCCATCTTTTTTTTTTTTTTTGCAGTACTGGGGCTTGAATTCGGCCTACACCTTAGGCCACTCCACCAGCCCTTTTTGTGTGAGGTATTTTTGAGATAGGGTCTTGAGAACTATTTGCCTGGGCTGGCTTCAAACCTCGATCCTCCTGATCTCTGCCTCCTGAGTAGCTAAGATTACAGGTGTGAACCACCAGTGTCCGGCTCAGTTTTCCATCTTAATAAAAATGGAAGTTCAAACAATTACCCTGGATGCAGGGGTGCAGTGGGGTGGTGGCTACACATTGAGGCTGCCCAGGTCTTCTGAACTTACCCCCTTTGTAACTGTTAGTCCTGATAACTTGGACTTTATCCTGTATATTTGTACAAGGATATTATAAAAACCAGAGACCAAGATTGAGGCAGGAAATGTGAACTGGCACCAATTTGGTACCAGCCACCATTTTCTCTTGCCTGTATTATGGCAGTCATTTCCTGGTCTGCCTGGTTCTCCTTTCCACCTTACAGTTTACTCTTAACAAAGCAGTCAATGTGAAGAATTTAAAAAAAAAAATTCTACTCCTCTACTTAAAGCTCTCCAACATCTTCAAATGCTTCCAAACTGACTAGTGAGGTTTCTGGATAATCTGGCTTCTGCTCCTTTTTGTGTACACACGTCTTCTTTCCCACACTACTCCTTTTTGTGTACACACGTCCTCTTTCCCACCCTGTACTCTGGTGACACTGATCCTCTTGAGGTCCCTCATACTCTAGGCATCCTGGCCTGAGCTCTTTCCATTTGTTCTCTCCCCTCTGCAGAACACTTTCTTCACAGCCTTGCTTCTTTACTTTTAGGATATTTTCAATTGTCACTGTTCCGTGAAGTCTTTCCTATCCCTCTGTTTAAAATGACAGCTTTCACTCCTGCTCTTTATAGTCTCTGCTCTCTTACTTGCTTTATTTTTCTCTAGTATTTAGTACACTGAAATACTGTATACTAAACAGATTTGTTTACTTTCTGTCTTTATCTACTAGAATATGAGCTCCATAAAGCAGAATATGGAGGGCTTGGGGACGTATTTTGCATTGCTGTATTGCCAATCTATAGATCAGTGAAAATACAGTAAATATATATTTTAAAATAGTGCCATGAAAATGCCTATAAAGTAAAATGCTTCTTATCTAGATAATTCACCTATGAATTAAATTTAAAATTAAATTTATGGCATTGAGGCCTGAAGTAGGATATATATATATACAAATAAACTGATAATCTACTTTTGACTTTAAGCAGATTAACAGACTATTAATTGGTATGAGGAAAAGGTATGGGTTTTAAGAAAGTATACTTACTGGAAGGAGGTTTCTTCTACAAAAGAATAAGTATATATCATTAATGCAAGAATTACTGTGGTATGATATTCATTTAAAAATGAGTTTTGACTTTTTAATTTTTTTTTACTTAATTTCTTTTTAATCTTGATCCTTACTGACATTTGTATCCTCTAAATCAAGGGTTGGCAAACTTTTCTGTAAAGAGCCTCACAGCAAATATTTTAGTCTTTTGTGGGCTCAGGCAAAATCAAGGATACTTATAGGTACTTATAAAACTAGAGATAAAAGAAACTTTCAAAATTTTTACCAATAAAATTCAAAGTACAACAATATTCAAAGTCTTATAATACAGGCCTTTTAATTGAAGACCAAAATTCTTTGGGAAGGGATCTATATTTGTTTCAATTGGGGTTCAAAGTTAGTGTTCCCTATCATCAAATAGTTGCAAATTTTCACCTATTTTCTATGGCTTTTGGGCCATAGAAAACCAGGTAGGGAACTGAATTTGGTCTACAGGTCATAGTTTGCCAATCCTTGTCCTAAATACAAGTTCAAAATATGGTTCTCTTGGATAGGTTGTTTGCCAGATAAAAATGAAATTAATACTGTTAGCTAATGAACTCATAAAATTCAGGTCAACTCTTTAATTCAGCATTTTAAGAAAAACATGCTTACTAATGGCTCACTGAAAACAGGCAGGAGCTCATTGCAAGTAGATAAAAATGACATGGATTTTGAATCAATGATCTTATCTGTCTATGCTTTCACTGGTGACCAGCAGGGGGACACAGCTAGATTCTAGTCATAAAGTTGCATTGCACTGAACTAAATTGAAGCACTTTATATAAGAAAATACCACTAATTCACAGAGCTTAACTGTAGGGAATCTCCTTGAATCCATGGTCATGGAAACATTTTCTTACACATCTACTTATAGATATTATCAGAAATTTCTTTTAAGTCTAAGTTTTATTTTGGTAAAATTACTTTTAAAATCTAAATTCTAAAGTCAATACCCATTATCAAACAAAGAATCAAAAATTTGTTCATGCCCATTGATTTCTTATTCCATTTAAAAATTGAATTTTTATATAATATTACCAATGGATTTAATGAAGCTCTGCAACTTCTGAGCTCTCAGAAATTTAAAGACTAGAAATGAAGAAAAAATGTAAAGTCTAGGAAAGACTAAAGAATAAAACATTTTAATATCTCACACATCTACGCCAACCTACTGCACCATCATATGTGATTTGAAGTCACAAGAGGTCTAAACTTGAAGATCCAAAAACTTTGTTCAAAAGTAGGTTTCTAGTTTCAGGAGGGGGTTGTTTTTTCTTTGTTTTTTTATAAATTATGTTAAATTTGATATTAAACATTCTACTGTTCTATACTAATAAGACATTTCACTGTCTTATTTCAATTAAATTGCTTAAAAACTAGAAGTATCTATATATGTATAAATATACACGTATATATTGAGAGTCATATTTCCTAACTTATAAGGATTTTGTACACAGGTAAACATACTGCAAATATCTGTCAACACTGAGTATCTCTGCATTATGGCACTCCAAGGATGACTCTCACATATCCTATGCTTTCTCTTTTTTCTCTATGGTTGCCAAGTTGCTACCTAACCCACTTGTATCTTGTTATCATGGACACTTTCTGGAGCACAAAAATCTATGAAAAAATATTCTCCAGACTTTGTTAGAACTTCTTAGGAGAAACAGCATCCCATAAGAAAACTCTATATCCATACAAAATCATGTATCAAAGAAGGGTGAAATTCACTTACTTGAAAAGTAGCCTTTTCTCTGAGCATAGCACACACCGAGGCCACAGACAGCAATCACTAAGGCCACAACTACTACAGCGGCTATGATGCCACTTACATTGAGATCATCTGGAATATGGAATAAGCCATGTGTAAATTCACATCAAATAGATGGACAGATGCTATCATTAAGTCAAAAGGGCTCAAAAAAGCCCCCCTTTGGAGATAGGCTAAGCCTAGTTTCATGATTTTGAAGCCTGTTCAACTAACTCAATTTCAAGACATGGCTCAAAATTGATTGAAAATATTAACAGAACTAAGCCTTGCAATAATCTTAAGTTTGAAAAGTTCTATGAGCTAGAAATAAAATGTATGGTATTCTCTTGTATTTGGAGATGTAATAATTTACAGGTTGGAAACAATCTTTGAAGTTCAATAAAATATTCTACTGTTACCTCTCCACACCAAATATTGTTTAAAATGCTTATACAAATCACAGAGAGAGCATGTGCCACTTTATTCTGTAAAACTGTCAGGCATACCACTCTTCTTGAATTTATAGGGGTTGTATGTGGGTGTACACATACATGGCCACATATATATTTATCACTAAACTATTATTAATGAATTAAACAGCCTTTTCTTGTTGCTATTAAGTCATCTCTCCTCAAACCTAATATGACTATATTTTTTGAACACAAGCTTGGAATGACTGCCATGTTATCAATTTACAAAGTTTTTTCTGGATTGATTCTATTGCCTAATAACTAGATTATTAACCTTCTAAACTTAATGTTTTTTTTTGTTGTTGTTGTTTACCTTTTTTTTTTTTTTTGAGGCAACATCTTACTATTACAACCCACTGGTCTGAAACTTGCTTTGTACCAAACTGGGCCTCCTCTTTTCTTTGTAGTGTACTTAGTAATGTGCTTAATCAAAGGGCTAGTGTTTCAAAAAAAGTGTCCTGAAGTTTGCAGTGAATTTGATATCTATGAAGGATTTACCCTAAAGGTAAAATCTGACAAAAAAAAAACCAAACCAAACAAAAAAAAAAAAACCTGTCTTGTCCAACAAGTGCTAAGTCATAGAATAGATTTTATGTGATTTTCTTCAATGAATCAGAAGAAAGAAAATAGTAAGTTAGAAGCAAGTTGCTTGCACTTTTCTTTTTGCCATTTCTGTGAGATTTTGAGCAAGCCATACATTATGCCTCAGGGAAGAGAAAATGTAACAATAAGTATGAAAATATTTCGTATTCTTTCTTTGAAAAAACATAAAAGGAAGATGTCATTATTCTAACTGAAAGAAAAGGAACCAAACTGCTAAAAAGCTAAGTGGGAGTGGGGTCTGCTTGAGTGGCACATAAGGAAGTCTGAGAATAATCAGCAAATCCACATTTTACTTTCTTTCTAAACTTCAAAAGCAGTTTCTTTAGGAAGGGCTGGAGATGTAGCTCAGTTGTAGAGCACCTGCCCAGTATGTGTGAGGCCCTGGGTTTGATTCCTAACAATGCAACAACAGAGAGAACTTCTTTAGCTTGTTTAACAGTCTCTGTTTTTCATTGTAAGTTATCAGTGATAATTCACAAAGAAAACAAATAGATGAGTTCATGAATTTGTACAAGAGTAACGAGTGCAAATCTATGTATATTTGCGGGCAGTGGCTCCTGAGAATTGGGTGCACATTAGGCAAGTGCTCTACCACTGAGCTATAGCTTACAACCCAACAATGTGTTAAAATGAGGCTAAAGTAGGCACTTAAATTAGCAGAACCATTTAAAAACAAAGGAAAAATAAATAGAAATAGTGCCACTGGCACAAGTTTACATTAAAAACCATGAAGATAGTATGTAAATGAATGAAGTTAAGAAAATACGTATTAATTTTTAAACATGTTCAGATAATTTTGATGAAAATTTCAAAGCAACACTGAGAGAGATACTTTCTGATAATTTAAACAATTGCTATGTTTGACTCTAAATATCAGAACATTAGGTGGATAATGTCAATGCTATGCTGAATTAAAAAACAAGAGTCAGTGCTGGATATGGTGGTACATGTCTGTAATTCCATCACTTGGGAAGCAGGCAGGAGGATCATGAATTTGAGGTCTGCCTGGACTACTTACAAGACCCTGTCTTAAAAAACCAAAACCAAAAAATCCCAGAAATTCAAACTTGTTCACAGAAATTAGAATATAGTATTCATTATCTTATACGTTATATCCTGAAGTCTAATATGATTGTATTTTCTTTACAAATAATGCTGAGTTTAAGTACACATAGACATTACATATTTGTGTAGTTTGTGCCATCCTCTTAAGTGCAGTGAAAAAATGAATTTCTGACCCCAGAAGCTGAGGACAAGCTTCTGCAACAAGGAGCACCCTCAGTGTTCTGTTTCAGGGTGCAGCCCTCCCAAGGGACCGCTATACCCTGGGGGCCAATTCCCTCACATCCCTTTCTGTTACACAACCATATTCAAAACATGGCTTTTACCACAAAGAAAAATTAAATCCAATTATTAAGAATGACATTTTTAAAGGAATATATTCTGAAGCTCATGTAACCTAGAAAAGATGCTTAAGCACTAATTTTATTGGACTCTAAGGAGTTTATTTTGTGAACTGTAATGTAGGACAGCTATGTTTTACAGAAACCTAGATCTATAACTATTCTACATCTTGGATGTCGAAAAGTTACTAACAACTTGATAAAAAAAATAACTGATCCTATCACATGGGATGCTGGCAATATACCAGCACTGTTCTAGCACTTTCAAATACTGCTTTCTTTAATCTTCATATCAACTCTATGAGGAAGCTATATTATACGTCCCTTTTTGGAGGACTGAGGCAGAGAGATTAAATAAATTGCCTAAGGGGATGTAGCTAGTAAAATGACCGAGTATAAATGAAGTTATAGACTCCTAGACCCTGAGCAATTTACAGACTATGAAGATGATTAGCTTTTATTTGAAAGGTTATTCAGAAGAGAATATTTTTAAAATATGATTTGAAAAATTAAAAAGTTTTATTGAGTACAATGCTAAATATTCTTGGCTTGATTGGAAGATGGATTAAAAACAGCATTATTGCTTCTTTGCAATATCAAGCTAATTTTAAATATTCTCTCCTATCTATCCTTCACATCACTCAACCCTTTCATACCCTTGCTCCTTCTGCCCCCATATACTTGCACACTGTAATTACAAACCCTTCATGCCTCCCAATAGCAACACTTACCTACTTGCATTCGTTTCCCAGGACACCTGCGGTATCCAACAGAATTGCGGGCTTCACAGGAATATTCTCCACTGTCCAGTTTGGAAACAGTGTTAAATTGCTATTTGTGGAAGGGAAAACAAATATATTTTTAAATTATAAATCCATAAGTAGGCTCCTAAAAGAACTACGTCCCTTGAATTTTATCATTAAGTTAGTCTTTCCTTTTTAATGACTCAGGACTTTATATCATTATTGTGAATTTTAAAATCTACAATGACTTCAAGGGGTGAATAGCTAGGCATCCTGTTTAATTTGTCAGAAAAAGATTTGTATATGGATAAGTTTCCCTTTACTTTTCCTCCTTTCCTTCCTTTTTTTCCTCCCTCCCTTCCTTGCTCCCTCCATCTTTCCCTTCTTTCCTTTCTTCCTTTTTTGATAGTCTCACTATGTAGCCCACCCTGGTCTCTGTCCTCCTGCCTCAGCCTTCCAAGTAGCCAGGATTATGGGTATGGCCACTGTTTTGTTTTTTTTTTCTTCCCCTCCTCCTTCATCAAGTGGTGTGTGTGTGTGTGTGTGTGTGTGTGTGTGTGTGTGTGTGTGTGTGTGTATAAGAAAAGCAATATAGTTAGGAAGGCAATGAACCTTTTGTTTTTAAGTTTACAGTATCTGATAGTATTAAGAGTGTTGGTATATCTAGTTCTTAGGAAGTGTATTTATAAATGAAGGCCTCCTTGGTAGAAGGGTTAATGCATTTTTCTAAGTCATATATGAATTCACTGCAGTGGCAAATGATGAATATTTTTTTTCTTAAAAAAGCCAGAGTTACCACTAGAAAGTAGCTTAGGGCCCAGGAAATTTTAATTGATATTGTTTATAGAATTATAAATTCTATCAATTTCAGAATGTTTGAAAATTCTAAAAAGTTTAAAGTCCAGCCCTTGCTCCTTCTACTCCCAAGCAACTGGGAGGTAAGATTTTAATATAATAAGCTGCATAACTTGTACTGGTAGTTTTATACCCTTGGTGAATTTCTGGAAGAAATTAAGGCAGACAGAAAAGAAGTGAAGAAGGAAATGAAGGAAGGGAGCAACGAAGGAAGGAGGGAGGGAGAGAAAAAAAGGAAGAGAGGAGGGCATACACACCTAGGAACCTCAAAAGATCTTCAGGACCAGTGTGAGAGGGCTGCTCAGATCCTCTTTACATGCCTTCCTAACCACAGCCTCATCCACTCTGTACTTCATCCATGGGGCCATTACCCTCTGAGGAGCACCTTCTCATTGTCTTGGATCCTCCAACAATATATTTTCCTATACTCTTTTTCCTCTTTCACTTTTCTCATTACTTCCCATAACCCACTCTTTATGTATGCTTGTACCTGGTACAATAGAAAGATTTTTCCTGGCTTGTTTCCATTCTGAGGAATCATCTCTCCCTCCCCCAAAGCCAGAATACTTTTAGATTATTCACCATAAATTCAGGGCCAAGGTTATGAATAAATAGTACATTAGACTAAAACTCCAAATGATCTTTCAGTGCCTTCTAACTGATAGTTAAAAGAAAATCCCTGGCATTCCCATATACTGGAGTCTTTGTTCTTTTCTCACAGAAGAGCCCATGCTAGTTCAGCCTGGTACCATGTACTACTTTGGCCTCACAAGAGATTTCAAGGGCTAAGGCTCACTGAAGGAAGCGGATCTGTATCATTACAGACGTGCCTTGGGGCTTTTATCACCCACTCTAGAAAAAATAAATTTGAAAAGTAAATATAGCAGAGTGTGACAGCAGGTTTTCTGCCCAGTTTCTCATCTGCTGTACTGTATTATTTATCAAATGAGCCAATGTGTTTTGCTCTGTATAAGAGGATGAAGTTTTCGGGTCAGGCATGGTGGTGCACACCCATAATCCCAGCTACACAGGAGGCATAGGTAGGATGATTGTAGTCTAAGGCTTACCCCAGGCAAAAGCAAATCACCATTGAAAAAGACTGGGGGCATGGCTTAAGTGATAGAGTACCTGCCTAGCAAGTGTGGGGCACAGAGTTCAAACCCCAGTATAGTAAAAAAAAAAAAAAAAAACCATCTAGTTTTAAATGTTACTTACTGTGTGTTAGTAGATAGAAGGAGCGAAAGGACACATAATACCCTCCTTTAAAAACTTACTAAAATTCTTATCATTGTCACCTCACCTTTAAGAGCTTTGTGGATAATTGCTATGGTCATGATTCTGTGTTGCTGGAAATTAGACATTTTTAAAGTCACACTTAATATTATTTTGATTGAAAAAACTCATTAAGCTAAATGGCCTTTTTTTGTGTGTGTTTGCTCCCACCTATACTCTGAAAAGTCACAGATGACAAAATAAAAGTACTTTTTATTTTCAAATGTCATTAACTTTAAAGAGCTTACTTATAGTTTCTCATCTGTACCACTGGAAAGGCCTTTCAATCAGAATCCTTTCAAGGAGGAAACAATCAGAAAAAAAGTAATATACACTTAAGTCACAGAGATAACTGTTGATGATCTAGTCATGAAATAGTTTAAGGATGCAGGTGTCCTACCATGGTTTTACGATGGTATTTTTTTTTCACATGATTAACACTGGGGTCAGAACATCCCCAAGTGAGCTTTTGTGCATTTTCCTGAGGTATAAATTAAGACTGCACTTAGTAATTTTCCAGGCCAGGAAGGTAGCTGCAGAAAACTACATAAACCATCACCTTGAATCAAGCTTGACCTGCTTCAGGTCACTCACCAGTTAGACCTTTGTGTGCTCAACTCCCTGGTCCCCTTGAGACCTTCCCACCTCATATGGGTGGTCCTTTCCATCACTTCTCATTGTAGCTACCATCATCTTTCCTGCTATCCCCTCCTCTCCATTTAGCAAGCAATGGTATTAGTATTGTATTCTCCATCATCTTAAGTTCTAATAATCTTTCTATGCAAATGCCAGACAATTGTTAAGCTAACATCTGAAGTGACCTTACCAGAGTTCCAGATTTGATATTCATTGTGTAGGAGCTGTTGGTGCCTGGGGAGCCAGATTTTGGATTCTCTAGCAAACGGATACCATCCTTGAACCATGTGTATTCAGGAGCTGGGTTCCCTTCTTTATCTTGACATCGTAGCTCTGCCACAGTCCCCCTGAGAGCGGAAGTGGGCACTTCACATGATGGAACTGCAGGAGCAACTGAACAATGAAAGCCAAGTGTGTTTCAACAACCAGTAAAGGTGTGTTTATCAGACACTTATGACAGAGACTGGCCACTTATTCAATACAACCATTCCCTTTTTTCTTGGGAACAGTAGACCACATCTGTCAGCCCCTTGCTGCCAGATGGAGTGAGGCATGAGTTTCGGCTAATGGAATGTGAATAAAAATGATAACTATTTTTAGACCTAGGGCTAGTGGTGTGGCTCAAGTGGTAGAGTGTCTGCCTACAAGTGTGATGCCCTGAGTTCAAACCCTAGTACTCCAATAGTTAAACAATATCAAATATCCAGGCCTGACCTATAACAACTTCCTGCATGATTCTCCATTTATTCACTCCTCTTGTCCCCTCCAACTCATGGAAAACCTTGTATTAAAGAAGATGTCAGACCTATATTAGGTTGAGTCTCTAATGATGTGATGAAGTAGAATAATATGGCTCCATACTCTCTCCCCTCTGCCTATAGGCTTTACTTAAGTGAGAAAGAAATTTCTATTAAGCCACTCAGCAAGAGTGCAGGGCTTATCTGTCATAGTATCAAGCATTACCTAAGCTAATAAAATCTTGGGAAAGAATCCTATATAAAGAACAGGTCCCTCAATATTAAACACAGAGAGGTTTTTGTGATAATGTGTTAATAATAGTAAAATTTTAGTAGCCAATGAGGTGATGAGAAGAAATAGCCAAGATCTTCTGGGAAGGTGGTGCTGTGGTTCCTGTAACATTACTGGTTGGGTCTCCCAATTAGTGTTGGTGTGTCCACGGACCAAGTCTGGAAGGAGGAGGATATCGACAGGTGACAGTAGTTACACATACACATGCACATTACCTAATACTTGTAGAGTAACCGTATCCTCTTCCAGGTTTTGACCTTGCTCAGAAGGGGCACTAACTTCACAACGGTATTTCCCAGCATCATTTCTTGTAACATTCTTGATCCGTATATTGAAATCTATCATCTCAGCCCGATCTTTAAAGTCACCTTTAGAAAAAGAAGACAATAATACTAGTGATGATGCAAGTAATTTTCCATGTAACACCTTCCTCAAGTCATTTCATTCAATAGCGAAAGCATTCAGCTATTATGCTTCTAATATACTCAGTTTTAAAACTTAAAAGTTAGATGCCCATGCTGTTATTTTAACTGCTTTTTTAAAAAGAAGGGTATTTTTTAGACTTCAAAAAGGAATATTTAGTTTTATATTCTCATGTTTTATTTTAAAGAACTCAACCCAAATGCCTGCCTCACTCCTTTCTGGTACCCTTGTGAAAATATTCCTGTTTTTTTAAAGCCCCACTGGGGAGCCTGGTTTAATTGGTCAGAACAGTAACTTTTTTTGTGGTTGTCCAACCACAGAGGAAGAGATGGTGGAACTGGAGGTGTATCTTAAAAATGTTTGATTGATTAGTTTTTGATAGTAATGTGTAGGAAATTAAAATAGGGTTTGTATAATATGCAGATGCCAGAATTGACAAATGCAGAAAATTCAAGTGAAGACAGCTATGAAATTAACATTTTGCAGCCTACAGTCTTATCTTGACAGTAAGAATCAGAGGATATTTTAAATTGTCTATGAACATTAAAATTTTTCATTTAATTCCTTTAAATAAAGTAATAATAATTTAAAAAAAATCATGTTTATTATCTTTGTTATATTGTAGTTCCAACTTTAAAAATATTTATAATGGAAAAATGAAGCGTATATGAAATTCGAGAGTAAAGGAAAAATGGCCCTCAGTGTACCCCTTTGTTAAGCTGTAACAGTACACATGACCTACCTTCTTTCATTTGTATGCTTAACACTGGATAATTCTGAAGCAAATATCATAACATTTCATCCATCACTATCACATTTTTAATTAAAAGTGTATCACATGCTCAACAAGCAGAGTAGAAAGTAGAAAGAAATGTGTAACGAAATAAAAATCACAACAATTTTAATTAACTGTTATAAGTCCTAACTTCCTAAGCTTCTCAGTAGTGATGTCAGTTTCTAGGGGGAGATAAGAAAGTGGGGAGGGTAGTACCACTGAGCAGTGACCCTTCATCCCAAATCCAAACATTTTCATTTCCTTTCTTTCAAGAGTTAATCTACTGGGCCAGCAAGAAAAATTGCACTTTGCATCCTCCAGGACTGTGCTAAGAAATGAAGGTTCCAACAGTTGGTGGAATCAATGGTACCATCTCAGTTACCACCACCATTGCAACCTCAGCTGATTCAACCACAATTACAGACAGATCCTCTTGCTATTATATAAATAGGGAGTAATTGCAGACAGCCTGAAGTTGGACAAAAAGCAAATCTAGACATGCATGTTTCAGGGTTCAGTAGTATACTTCATGTTTCATACAAATAATTCACATTCAAAATGATGGGACATTTTCTCTTTGAGCTATATGGTAGTCCTTACTCACTTACATTACAAATCTAAGACCATGTGGTAAGCATGACTGGAGAGGTTTAATTTTTATAAACAGAAATAGCTATAAAATACAAAGCTGCTGCTGCATGCAACCTTATTGCAATCAGTACATCATTCCTGTGGCAATTTCTGTCACATTATATTGTGAATAAAATTTTTCTATAGAAATTAAATGATTTAAAAACTCACATATATAAAACATTTAATGCTTTTTCAGCCTGCTTTATGGCTGGTTTTGTTACTTGATATGCTAATTTGGGCAATTTAATTTACAATCTAGCAGTCTGTATAGATAACTACAAAGCCCAGTTTAAGTATTTTATAATTTTAGGCTACTTATGCCATGCTTGGGATGTTTGAAAGAAAGAAAAAAAAATACGTGTAACAAATTTCACATTTCCACACCTTCATTTTACTTAGTAAACCTGTGGGTGATTTGATGAGGGGTAAATGAAACTTTTTCTTTGTGTACATACCAAGGACATACATGGTTGTGGCTAAAGTGAGTTGATGATGTGGTGCAAGGGATAGTTGTCACCAGTTCATTTCTTTATGGTCCATAATGAAATAAACATTTTGTATATGGTTAATTCTGTAAACAGATGCATGTTCAAAAGATCTATAATGGTCTTGTAATCTTAATCTAATATATTTTAGATATTTTAATTTTTTCCCTCCTTGGGAATACATTTAGTATAGTGTAGAAAAATACTTCATGGCATTTTCATATAAGGTAATATAATTTTTCATACATAAACATGAAATTTGTTGTAGAAATTCTTTAAAGCAAAATTTTAATCTAGGACTTAAATTTAATCTGTTCTTTAAATCTATTTTTATGTGGCCCTTAAGAACATATCCAAAAATTCCATTGCTAATATAGTAATAAAAATACTTTGGGTACTGACAGACTCGTTGGAGTGTGTGTATAAAATCACAAACTTGTATTCATATTCTTTCCTATGATGTGTTGTATTAAAATCCAAAATAGCTTTTGAAAAAAAAAAAGAAAGAAATGAAGGGTCCAAGGACTCAATGGAATTTACCTACTTTTGTTCTCTGTCCTCTGTTTTTGTGGCTGTTGTGTTGGAGGTCTCAGATACTGTTGGCTTCATCTCACACTTACAGAAACACATTTTCAGTAATGAGTCATGTCCTGTTTTTATTTGTAAATTAAAAGAGATCATGGTACTTGGTGTTCTCTTGCTCTCACTTCATCAAGTCCAAAGCTTCTTACCTTGGAGAGCCTGTTGATAGTAGACAAAGGAGACACTGCGCCCCAGTTTCTTCCATTCCAACCTGGATGAAATGGTCTTCTTTGGGGTTTTACAGGCTAAAATAACCTCTGGGAACAACATCAAAAATATTTGTTTTCTAAATGTCCCTGAGAATTTATATTTTCCTTCATTAACACATTTGTAAACATCCTTAAGTTATTCTTTTACATTTCCATTCATTCATTCTTCCATGCATTCATTCATAAATTACATCAAGAAGTACCATGTCACCTTAACCCAAAGATGAACTGGAGCCATTACAGCTCTTCTGCATAATAATTATGTGACATTATCCTGTTTTCCCTAGCTATTTAGCCTGAGTTTCCATCAGTAAAATGGGATAATACTGATAGAGTCGTTTGTGAATTTTCAAATGCAGTAATGTATGCAAGGCACACAGACCTAAACATCATAAATACTTAACAAAAGGAGCTACAATTATTTTTCTTATTATTCACAGTCTCAATCTTCGAGGAGTCTATAGCTTGGTAAAAGAGGCAAATAACAATGTTATTTTGGTCCAACATTGATGAATATCAAGATGGAGGTATAGGAGGATGCTTCATATTTCCTGCCTAAGAAAGGCACTTAGTTCAGCCCCAGGATATGTTGGGAAAACTCTGACATTATCACTCAGATCTTTTCTTTATCAACTCACTGTACAATTATGTTAGCATAAACTCATACTGCAAAATGACTGCTCCAATCCAGATAACCTAATAAAAGATTAATCTTGGCTTCAAGTTTTCCTCATTGTAGCTAAGTTCTCTTTATTGCAGCATATTTGTTGTAGCCACATCATTAAAGAATTCCTGGATGGCTGGCAGAGTGGCTCAAGTGGTAGAGTGCCTGCCTAGCAAGCGTGAGGCCCTCAGTTCAAACCCCAGTACTGTCAAAAAGAATTCCTGGAACCTCCAAAGGAACCATCTCTTTCAACTGTTCAAACAAGATGACTGAAGAGAGGGAAACCCAGTGCTGGTCTGCAAACTGCTTCAAGTTTCCAAATAGAAACCTCCAGTTATAAGTAGTTTTAAAGGATGTTTCAAACAAGCTCTCTAGAATGTCAACTTCATATTTCTGAGACTTTTTTTCCCCACAAAGCAAGTGGTCCAACCTAAAAAAGCAGAGTATCTTTGCTGAGAAGAGAAATTATGCTAAAATTCTTTCCATACCTCTGATTTTTATGTTAAGCACATTTAATTGTATTTAAAAAATATTATTCTAGTTTATTTAAAACATACACATGGACATAGACAAAAAGCCTATAAGTCTATGTATAAAAATTATAACCCAGTGGTGATTTCTGTGTGATAAAATTGTGATTCCTTTCTTTTTTATTATACTCATATTGCTAGAAATATAGAATAAAAGGTAATAGAAATTGGGGCAGAGAAAAGAAAGGCAAGGAACAAAAGAACCAAAAGTTGTTTTTCAAGAATGCTTAAAGCATTTAAAGCAGGTTTTACATCACAGAGAGATATCATTTTACAGAGGTGTTTACAGCTATACTACACTACAAAGACAAATGTGTGCTAAGGGACCTGTCTGAGGAAACGGTACTGTTGTGTTGATTAAGGAGAATGGGTGGTGACCTTCCGGAGTCTTGAGTTTAAGATAGGTTTCCTTCCTGTATTTTGAGTTTTCCAACAATTAAGCACACACCCACACTCATTTTTTACCCATTCTCCATGTCTTACTCTTACGTCTTAGAAATAATTTTATATTCCATCACATTGTTTTACATATTTACCCGGAAACACACACACACACTCACACACCTCTCTTGGTGAATTCTTTTTGAGTTATGTCCTCCCTGTTCTGTGGAAAAACCTGTGAGGAAATTATATTAGAAAAGTAACCAATAATGTTCCTAATTGCAGTGATTTCACTCCAGCCTCTCTCTCGTTGATCATGTAAAATGTAGAGAAGTAGTCCATCCAGTTCATCCAAAGTACTGTGAGTATTCACCATGTGTGCTGCATTATTCTTGATCTGTATCTGTGAACAGAATAAGGTCAGACCCCTTGCCCTTCAGGATCTTACAACCTAGCAGGGGACATCAGGCAAACAAGCAGCATCACAAAGTAAATTCTATAATAATGTTAGAAGGTGATGAGTGCTGCAGAGATAAAGGGTAGAGCAGAGTCTGAGAGGTTGGGAGTTCTGGCTTAGAGGATGCCATTTTAAAAAGCAGAGTATTTAGAGTTCACCTCTTTTAGAAGATGGCATTTGATCAAAGATTTAGACAAAGAGGGACTTTGCCACATGGTTCTTTGAGAAAGTGTCCTGAATAAGGGAACAGCCACTGTCTAGACTCTAGTGTAGCAATACCTGGATCTTGAACTACTGTCTCCAGATCATGAAAGAATAAATTTCTGCTATTATAAGCCACCTGGTTCACAGTATTGTGTTATGGCAGTCCTACAAAATGAATATAGATGATAAAAATACGGGAATCATGGGTCAGCATCTGAGGATAATGAATCAAGTGAACCTAGAAGCTAACTCTCATGGACTCTCCTTTCCCTCTTCAGCTAATATTCAACACCACGGCCAGCATAATTTTCTCTATCTAGCTTCAGGGTTATAATAATATATCAGGTGACATAATACAGAAGCTTTTGAATTAGACCGCTACCAAATACTATATATATGATAATGGGAAAATAGTTAGCTTTTTTTAAAACACCATATCTACAGCAGTAAAATGATAAAAGGATAGTACTCATCTCACAAAGTTATTCTAAAGATTAAATGTGATAATGAGTTTATATACTTGGTGCACAGTGTACCTTGCATATAGTATGTGAACCATAAGTGGTCCTTATTATTTTCATTCATAAGGAACTTCTCTTTAGTTATAGTAGCTATCTTGCCTTGACATGATAGAAATCTATACTTTATTCTATCATAAGTTTACTTTTAAGTTACTCAAATAAGAACTAAAATGTTATGTCTGTTTTGGATAGCAAAGAAAAACATAAATTACACAAGCATATTAAAACACAAATGTGCCAACTTTTTTCTATTAAGGTGACAATTTCATTGCCAAAACATCTCTTTCAATTAGATGGAGAAAAGATAACGGTTTGAGAAAATGCTTACTATTACACTCTGATTAATAGCTCTCAGGGTTGGATACTCTTGCAAGAGGCTGTTCATGTAATTTACAGTGCTGGCAGAGTGGCCCTGATTTCAGTCTCATTCTGCTTCTGGCTCCACCATAGGAACTGATAGAGAACAGCAGCCTCAAAAAGCAGAAATCAATTCACAATTTTTTGACATTAGAGAAACAAGAGATAAAACACTGAATGAAATGGGTGGGTGGAACACATATACACAAATCACAAACTATCGCAGACTTAAAATTGAGTTACTAAATAAAATATCCTAAAACTAAAATGTGAAAGAACATAGAAATTTATTTTTGCTTTATGGAATGCCAAGTTGAAATAACTGTGACACATAAAAACTAGAATTAAAATGTAATTCTTAATTTAAAAACCAGAGGTAAAGTAAGAAAATAAAAAACACTTATTTTAGAGCAAGACTGACTTTTTATTTTTTGAGAAGGGTAGTGAGGATTAAACCCAGGGCTTCACACACGCTCAGCCTGTGCCCTGCCACTAAGATACACCCCTTTCCTCAGCTCATCCTTTAATTGCAGTAAGTTACGAAAGGATTTTCTATATTCGAAATGAAATAAGCATTAAAAAGTAATGTAAATGGACACAGGGCTTCATTTTGGAGTGATGGAAATGTCCAGAACTAGGCAGAGGGGTGATTGTAGAACACTGTGGAGACACTGAAATTCTGAATACCACTGAATTGTTTACTTTAACATGATGGATTTTAAGGTAAGTGAATTTTGCCTCAATAGTTTTTAAAAAAAATAATGTAAGATTAAAGAATACAATTTTGATGTCCTAATTCAGATATTGTGATCCAGGGCCTAAGGGGCAGGGATGTACCTCTGCTGTATCCAGCTGAGCCCAGGCATAGGAACCTCCAGGAAAGTGAGGAGGAGAAATACCTTCACTTCCTTTGTCCCTTGGGGACATCCTGCTCCATGTTTCTCTCCCCTGTACTCTTTTTTTTGGCTTATCCAGTCTCCTTTTTTGGCATATGGCCCAGCCCTGTTTATCTTCTCATACGTTCTCCATCATTGAAATTACTTAGAATCATTAATTTCCTCTTCCCGCCTCCCTTCATTTAAAATTAGCTCACAAGAAAATGTGTCTTATTAGTTTAATCATGTAATAGATTAGAACATAAAGGACCTAACTAACCTAAACAATAATTTAAGTAACTTTGTTACCCCTCCCTACTCTCGCACTGCTGAGGTGAGCGAGCTCAATTTCTATACCACTTTAACCTAATCTACCTTTGAGGACAAGATACCAGAGGGCCAGAATTTCCTCATCAGGTGGGTTAGCCAAAAAACTGATAAGACCCAAGATGGTTGCCAGAGGAACCTCCAGATCACTTCTAACTTCATTATAATCCATCTGCATGCTAAATGACACAACCCTGGTGCCCTGACAGTTAGCAACTGTCATGACAGTGACCAGAAAGACCCATAAAAGGAACAAAAAGAGGTAGTGCCCAAATTCCCAGAAATTCTCCATTCATTCTCAGAAAAGACACAAACATTCCTCCTTTTTATTAACCTATCTATTCCCCCTCTTTCTTTATATCTATAACCTCCTGACCCCAATAGGTAGAGAAGTTGATTTGTGAGTTTTATCTCCCACTCTATTCGTGGCCAAGAATAAAAGTGTACTTTGCTGATCTGTCCCTTCTCCATCTTGTTGATGGTACTACAATTCTGAGGGGAAAAGGACCCAGTCTGGAGTCAAAAATGGGTAACAATTTGATAAGTGATTCATTATTTTTGAATGATAGACTGATTGTTATTATAACATTTTTACTTAACAAACACATATAAAAGTGATTATGTGTTAGGTGCTATTGTAAGAACTGTATGAATACTATCTCATTTCATTCTCTCCCCACCCCAGTCCTCTTCCTTAATTTCTGTCTCTTTCCTTTAAGCCTATTTGTCTCCAGTTGTTAGAACTGAAGTCATAACTGAAGAGATCAGGGGAGGGGAGAGGGGAAGGTTAAAGGAGAATGATGGGGGGGAGTGAATTCAACCATAAGAACCTTTGTAAATGTCACAGTGTACCCCCAGTACAATAATAATATGATAATAAAAAATTTTTTAAAAAGAAATTTAAAAAAGAAAAAAAATCAATTTAATTAAAAAAAAAAAAGATGAGAGATCAGATATTTAAACCTATTTCTTAAATGTTTGTAATCTCCAGCCTAAACAAACATTACATTTAAGAAATAGTAATTTTCTGGTTTCTTTGTACTACTAATTGTATTTTTGGTAAATGATATTTTAGAAAAGGACGGTCAATATTTAAGGTAAACTTTAAAAAGCCACTTTACACTATTTTTTATTATTAGTCACTTTAAGTATTTTTAAACTGTGCCAAAATACATAAAACTAAAATTTACCATTTTAAATATTTTAAATTGTATAATTAAATAACATTAAGCATTGTTGTGCATAAATAATCTTTCATCTTGCAAAATCCAAACCTTATATCCATTAGTTAAACTCCCCCTTAAAAATATATTTAAGAAACTACAATAGGGCTGGAGGCATGGCTCAAGTGGTAGAGTGCTTGCCTAGCAAGTGCAAGGTCCTGAGTGCAAACTGCAGTCCCACCAAAAAAGAAAAAAAAAGAAGCTACAATAAATAAGAAAATGACAACACAAATAGTCTTACCCTAATGTTATGTTAAGTACATAGAGTGAGGTGTGAAGCGTTCATTTCTACTTACCACTTCTAACCAGCTAAAAACCTTTAAAGATGTCTATCTTCCTATTTCATAAATTAGATTTTCTTTGTTGCAGATAATTTACATAATGGTGACCTTTCTATGTATGCCTGTTTTTTTTTTTTTTTCATTTATTGTCCAAAATTTCCACCAAGGAGGTAGAGAAACAGGTAGAAACAGCATGGACCATTTTAGGCAAAAGAATTAGGGTGGAGGAAGGGCAGAGGTTCCAACAAAGAGAGAGATAATATCATATCTGTAGTCCTTGTGAGGTAGGTCAGCAATACAGCAGGTAAAAATTGGAAAGATGCTCTACCTTGGTACTCTATTGCTGTGACTACTTGATGGTCTTTTGGAGCAGAGAATCCATATGCCTTATGATCTGAAAGATTAAAACAACAATTAAAATAGCACAAAAATCCATTTTAAAATGTTTAAATGAGATGCAATATTCAAAAAAGCTGGCCTAAGTTTGGAAAGAATTTTATATGATTCATAACATAAAAATTTTAAAGTATCAAAACAGGAAAAACAAATCTATACATGTCACTTCTATTTTCTGTATTATGGTTTTGGTCTTTAAACATTTCCTAAAGCAGAACCCATGGGTGTCCTAAATCCATGTCAGCAGCTCTGATCTCTTTTCTGGTTAAATTCATAATCTTCCTTTTCTGCTGGACATCTGTATCTCCATTTCCTACATACTCCACAAATTCATGGGCAAAAGTAAACTTGCTACTGTGCTCCCAAACTTTGTTTTACTTCTATAATCTCTTCACAATGAAAGGCATCTCAATCCACATGGTCATTCATACCACAATCTTAGTTACAGCCATGATACAACCACTCTCTCATCCACAGACTGAGAAGTGTCACCCAGGATAATGTTAAAAAATATCTGTCCTTTTTATTCTTTGCCTCCTCCCACCATCATGAGTGCTCTTTGCGTCAAGGAGGGAACGTGGATAGTCAAAACTCATGAGAGAGAAAAATAGAGTACTTCTTGCCTTGTCACATTTAGAAACCCCCTGACCATTTTTAAAAATGGAGGGGAAAAAAATATTTAAAACACTGTAAAGAGGAGAAAGTGAGTTGGAGAACAAGGATCTTGGTGGGCTCTTGAGAAAGAGTAATACTTGCTAAAATCTGCTGAGCATTTGTGTCAGGCATCATACCGAGAGCTTTGTAAGTATTATTAGTTCATTTAATTCTTACAAGGTTTCTCTACAATAGGGTAACATTCATGACAAAGTCTCCACACATTATGCAGTAACTATGATTCCAAACCATTATTCTGTGAAACTTTCGAACAACTTTTTGAAGAAGTCTCTTTCCCTTTTTGGCAAGATTTGAATTATATATAATTGGGCCTCCAGAGAAGCCCCAATTATGAGTGACAATTCCTGTGATCTTTGAAGTATTTTAGTACACTTTTTAGACAAAGTAATAAAGACTTATATTCCCTGGAAACCAGTGGCAGGGGAAATCTGGGCAGAATAGGGAAGGATAATCTTTGTTCCCTCCACATCACTGTGTCTTTGAACATTTCAAACACCACAGTGCCTACTGAGAATGTTTATTTTCTTCAGGAGGCTCTTGGTTTCCTTCATCTGAGGCAAATCAATGAGAAAGTGAATCTTTCCAATTTTCTACTTGCTAAGCCTTCCTTCAATAAAAAGTTTTAAAGTTTTCAAAAATCACTAAAAGTGGGCTGGCAGAGTGGACTCATGTGGTACAGCATCTGCCTTACAAACATGAGGCCCTGAGTTCAAATCCAGTACCATCAAAAAAAATCACTAAAAGTACTATAGAAGATAATATAGAACTATACTATAGGAATTTATTTCTTCATAAACTTTACATAAATATATTTTTGAGATTTTAATTTTTTTTAATTTATTGGCAGCACTGGAATTTGAACTCAGGGTCTCAGGCTTGCTAGGCAGGCAGTCTTACAACTTGAGCCACTCCGCCAGCTCTAATTTTTAAAATTTATTTATTTTGAGACAGAGTCTTGCCATGTTGCTCAGGCAGATCTCAAACTCCTGGGCTCAAGCATTCTTGAGCATCTATTTGAACAGGAAAAAAAATGTCCTAGACACTAAACAAGTTGAATTGGCAAAGCTATGAAGGCAAAAATATTATAATGGAGATTTTTTTTGTTTATATATTTTATTTACAGGGCTGGTGGTATGGCTCAGATGGTAGAGCATCTGCCTAGCCAAGTGGAAGGAATGCAAAGCACCAAGTTCAAATCCCACCCAATACCACCAAAAGGAAAAATAAAAACCTCCGGTATATTTTATTTTACTTACTTCTTTTAACTTATATATGAAAAGATGAAAGCAGTACATGTTAATGGGGTTCCATGCAACATTTCAATATATATATCCCTGTGTAATGTCTAAATCAGGTTAAACATATTTATCTCCTCCCTTCCTTCCTTCCTTCCTTCAACAGGGTCTCACTTTGTTAGCCTTAAACTTGTGATCTCTGCCTTAGCCTCCTAGTGCTGGGATTATAAGCATGCTCCACATCATCATTCCTTTATGATGAAAACCAAAATCCGATTTTTCTAGTTTTTTAAAGTGCTTGATTCTTATATATGGTCACTCTGTTGTACAAGAGCACACCAGAACTTCTTGTTCCTACCAAGCTATAACCTAATACCCATTGACCAACCTGTCCCTGTCCCTCACTCCCTCCTTTTCTCCTGACTACCTTTTTATTCTCAGTTTCTAATGGATCAACTTTTGTAGATTCCCATATGAGTGAGACCCTGCAGTATTTGTCTTTCTGTACCTGGCTTATTTTACTTAACATAATGATATCCACTTCCATCCATGTTACTGAAAATGATGGGATTTTAGTCTCTATGGCTGAATAGTATATGTATCACATTTTCTTTATCTATCCACCAATTGGTGGAAAATTAGGTTGTTTTCATTTCTTGGCATTTGTGGATAGTGCTGCAGTGAACATGGAGTACAGATATCTCTTTGACTTACTGATTTCTTTTCTTTTGGATGTATACCCAGTAGTGAAAGAGATTAGTTTGAATAAATAAATTAATTAATTAATAGATAGTATTTTTCTTTGCAGAACATTTAATATGGTTCTGTGATTTTACACATCTTTGCCTTCTAGGTACCTTGCTTTCTCTACTTCTAAATAGAAGTAAATTAAAGTATTTAAAATACATGACCACTTATGTTGAATTTGTTTAAAGAGAAAATTCAGCATCTTAAATTTTTAAAAATTATTTATTTCAAGATTTGTACTTTGTTTCAGTCTTACTAGTCTTAAAATTCATGTTTTATAAACTTGTACCTAATGACTCTTTTTATGAAAACAAAATACTGGATTTCATAAATCAACATTTCACTAACAGATGTTAGGAATAGTCTCCTGTTGGCTAACTTATTAAATCAATTTTTCTTCACTTTTTCAGAATAAATTAAACAGGGAAATTAAAAAAAATTGTCATGTTGGTCCAATGGTTGAGGTCAACAATTGTTTCAAAGTTCACTATGAAACATTGTAGTAGTTATGGATGTGTTCCAAAATCACTGGCAGAAGTTCACAAACTGAGCTTAAGAGATGATTATTTCCACAGCTCCTAACAACCCCAAGTCAAATAATTCCTAGTCAAATGAAACCTTTCGTGTTTCATTTTCCTCAAGTTTAAGTTTTTATATATTTCTACTACTCATTAAGGTGATCTGATGTGGTGAAGAATAAATACTTATTTTATACTATAACAATTTAAAAATTACTATAAAAATATTTTTAAAAACATTTTTAATTGAAAACACAATTAGAATCAAAGTGTTATAGAAGTCTTTCATTTAAAAGTACAATACAGACTGTATCACTTATAAAACCAAGTTATAAAAACTATTCATTTAGAGTTGGGCATGTGGCCCAAGTGGTAGAGCATTTGCCTAGCTAAGCACAAAAAATTCCCAATAAGTATAGGCATAAATTATTTCATAAAAAGTAACAGGTATGTGGTTTTGATAGTCATTGATAACTATTATTCCAATATATCGAGCTACACGGGGTTAGCATAACAAAATAGTATCACCCTGAGTTTATTATGGATAACTATATAGATAGATAGAAAGTAAGCAGATGAGATAGGAATTAGAAGATGGAAAATACACTCATCTATCTCATAACCAACCATAATCAACCATACTAGATCTAGGGAATAGGAAAGAGAGGGAGACACTGACAGTTATCCTCCTAGTCTCTCAAACTAGACATTCTGACCCCTCCTCTTAATGAGACATTGACATTCTACTTGAAAGGAAAGTCATATTAAAGTGAAGGAGAAAGAAAAGATGCACTTGACTTTATAATTATTGGTGACTGATGCCCTGGTAAGTTAACCAAGGCCTTAAGAATTTAAAGGTGATTTTGACTATGGTTAAATTTTCCCCTCAAGAACCTAACATCTCAGTAAAAGATATGACTGCCGCTCTGTTAACATCCTCACTTGACAAGATATAATGATTGAGAGGTTACATGACTTGCTCAAGGCCACGACACTTTAGAAAGCAAGGAAGCCAAGGTATTCATCTAGTTAGCATGCCTCCATAGTTCTCTGTCTCTCAAGTTTTGAAGACTATATTCATTTAAGATTATTCATTTCCCTTTAACCTGAAATTATAATTACCTAATTCCTACACATTGATACAATTCTTAAAGACTAAAAGTCTAGAACCAATGTGAGCATTTGGTAGATATATTTCTCAGTAGAAATGAATTTACCATTATAATTATCAAACAAATAACTTTTTTAGGTCAAGTATAGCACTTTCCCCAGAGTTTGATCAGCTCTGGGCAAATGCTTCTAACTGATTTCCTGAACCTGAGTTCAGAACTGTGTATCTGAATCACCAGTTCAAATCTGGGAGTCTGCACAAAATGTCCTAACAGCAGACTCACACAGATTATTCAGGGGCTGTTTGAGTCAGGAATTAGGGAAATGCTTATCCCACAATTATTTGACATTTATAAGATCACTTTAGCAACAGATGTGAGATGATAACACTCCATTAAACTCCCCACCCCTCCCCATGGCTGTGTAGTATTGTTTTAAACTTTCTTTATACTTCTCAAGTTGTATTTCTCTGTCTTACTGAGTGAATTGTAGGAATCACTAATAATTGTTTAATATTTCAAATGTTTTCATTTTTTGAAAGTGGTATGAATATAAATTATGTTTTTCAAGAATTAGCATAAGGAAGTAACTAAAGGATTCTCTAATATCACCAAGCTGTTAAATTTATAATGTGTGAGTAAGGATATCTCCAAGATTGCACTGCTAATGTTTTCAATCTTTTTCTGAAATAGAAGATTATAGTTATAGAAATA